TTCTTGTTGGCCAAATGAAGATTTTAACTTTTAGTCGAGTTTTTAATTGTGTGTGGGACGTTAACGGCGGGAGATGTGGTGGAGGGTGAGAGTTTCCACCAGCTGTCCAGTACACAGCCTCACTCTTACACCCTCTAGGTTTAAGGTGTTTTAGTTCTTTCTTAATCGGTGTTATAAAGTGTGAACATTACAGCAAGTTAAACGAGGATAAACGTAATGAGCCTCACAGGAAGACAAGACCATAAGGTAGTTGTGTTGCCCCTGACGACCGCCTACGCCAGCGCCGCCACAACGCCCTCACACATTGCCTCTCTTGACTCTTAACTTGTAGCTCCTGGATTTATGATTTAATTGAACTATCTAGGAATATTTTTTGTTGTCTCACACCTTGGAAATAGTGTTTGGTAACGGGGTTCATTTGTGGGACGGAAGTTAGGTCAGGTCAGGGTAGGACAGGTTGGGAAAAATTTTAACTAAAATCACCGATATTCACTAGAAAATTTTTTCATTGCCGCCAAAGTCAACATTTTAGGTTGTCAAGAGTTATCTTACTTCAGTTTGTTCATAGTTTGGTCAAAATTATTTCCGAACCTTTCTCGATTTATAGGATGGGGTTGTCACAGTGTACATCAGACAAAACAGAGTAATTACGTGTCAAAATCAAATCCTTACTGCTCAAAGTTGGTTAGGTTTGTTTAGGTTAGGTTAGGAGTCACATTGCCAAATCCATACGAGGTGGACATATCCTCCTGTAGGCTGGAGAACGTGGTAAACGTATTGATGACACTATCCCTGGTGTAGGAGGTGTTGTAATAGCAGATGAGACGGAGTTGCTCCATCAGACACAGACAAACGTGACATAGGCACTCGGACGTGACTGGCTCAATGCGGCGTGAGACCGTGTCCTGGGCGCCAACACCTGGCTCACCTGGCTCAGCTTCTCGTCGTGATGGGTCAAACTCCCTCCATTAAAGCCTGTAACCCATGCTTAAGTGTTGTGGACGTAAAGGCCACTCTCACCACACGCAATATATAAGCTAAGGATTAAAATGCTCGAGGTTAGCATCAGTTGGGATGTTTGGCATTAGAAGGCTGTACGTGGGTGTGTGTGGTGCTGCGTGCGGCTCTTCAGGTTTACATATGTAGTGAACTATCCCGCAGATAAATAAGCAGTGTATTCACTAGCATACAAGAGTGTGTAGTGAAGTAACAGTGGCTCTGGTCCTCCTCTGTCCTGGGTTTAACCTTTGTCACTTGTACGGGAGATACATGTACAGTACAGTACTCCCATAATGGCGGCCACTCAACACATCTTGGAGATTTGACGCCTTGAAAGTTGCACATAAGAGCTCATTTCGGTCTGTAATGAACTAAACAGCGTACCTGGAACCAAGATTGTCACATTGCAGAGGTGGACTTGGCGATAACTGTGTGCAGTAGTTAGTTTATGAATTACAGCAGTAGTATGTCTCACAGACACCTGGCGAGACATATGCGGTCACACAGGATGTGGTCAAGTTCCAGTGAGGAGAGTGTGAATAGCGAGGACAACACGCGACCCCTGGGCTGGTATAGCCTGCCAGGGACACCTTCCATACCTCGCGACACGCCCCTCTTGAAGGAAATCAAGACGAAATACCCCAGCAATACCCAGGAGTGGGTCCAGCAGGTGTCGACCAACAAAGCAGACTCGAGCTTGATTGCCACATTCCCAACGTTTCATCTCATATCAGTTGCGTCAGGGAGCCCCGTCGGCGCCCGCAGATGTTCTAGTGACGCTGAAGCCAGGGGCCGCTCTCGTACAAGGCGACACTCCTGGGTAAGTGACGCACAGGTGACTGACACGGAGAGAGAGAGTAGCACTACCAGAGGAGAGAGTACGGACACGGGGTGTGGTGATGGGGGGAAGGAGAGAGTAACCAAGAAGGATAAAAGTTTCTTCGGTAAAAAGCAAAGCGCCTCGGAAAAACAAAAGAACGTAGTTAAAAGAGACATAAGTGCTCCTGTAGGGACAGCGAGTGTGGGGGAGTTTGCCGGCAGCGTTGTAGGTAAACCAGCGAGTGTCACTGGAAGAGAAAGCAGCATACCGAGGAGGGAAATTGTTCATGCAAGAGAAAGCAACATCCCATGTAGAGAAAGTAGTGTCCCAGCTAGAAAGGTTGCTCATGGAAGAAAAAGTTACATCCCTCTTAGAGAAAGCAGCGTCCCTGGAAAAGAAAGAAGTGCTCATGGAAGAGAAAGAAGTGTCCCTAGAAGAAAAAATATTATTATTAGAGGGGGGAGGAATGTTCCCGAGAAAGTTACTGAAAGTGGAAAGAAAATTTTAGGAAGTGAAAGGAAAGGCAGAAATATAATAGAACCAAGACAACAAAGTGTAAATGGGAGAGAAAGAAAAGTGTTAGACCTAGAATGTAGTGTGCGTGGAAAAGAGCGGAGTGTGGTAAGAGAGAGGAGGACCGGGCACCAGGACAAGGGAGTATCAGGAAGAGATAAATGCTATCCAGGAAAAGCTAAGAGAGTCTCCGGAAAAGAAAGGAGAGTACATAGGAGAGAAAGGCTTGCATTAGAGGGCAGTGTGACAGGGAGAGGAGGCAGTCTTACCAAGAGAAAGAAGAGTATCCCGGGCATAGATGGAAGGTTCTCTGGAACAGACTGGAGTATAGTAACTGGTATCACCGCGAGGGCTCTGGGTGCCGCGGGAAAAGAGAGAAATTATGGAAAAGGAGAAAAGGTCGACGTCGGAAGAGGTGAGAACGTCCCAGGAAGAGAAATCGGTGTACCTAGACAAGAGGGTGACGTTTTCGGAGGAGGTGCAGGTGCTCCAGCAGGAGAACGGGGCGACCAGGTGAGCGAGGCCCCGGGGACTGTGGGAGGTGCTGAAGGTGGAGTAACAGAGGCTCTGGGACACACCAGCACCACCACACGCATCCTGCTCGAACTTATTCAAGATCTGGAGGCGGATATGAACTATGAGTCGGACTTGGGGGATAGTGGAGTGAAGGCGCAGTACCGTACCAAGAACGCTGAGGCACTGTGTTGGCCCTCTGACCCCATGTTGTGGCCCGAGGACCCTAACATGAGTCCCCAGGGCGAGGCGTTCCTCTCTACCAACGGTGTCTGCCTCAATGTGACGCGCCGACACAAGTCCAGGACAAGAACCGTAGATCATTTTAACCTGGACTCGAGTGTTTGGCGGGACGAGAAAGATTTAGCTGGCCCGACCGACTTCTTGACCGACTTGACCGAAATATTGAACAAAAAACTCCGCAAGAGAGAGTTCGAGGTGGAGCCTCCCCTCGACCTCGTTCAAGATCATCCGTTTTGGAAATACGTTGAGTCACATAGCCTTGTAAATCCCCTTGACGATCACCGCTTTCAAACGTCAAAGAAAACAGTAAAGCAGTTCCGTTCTCATCCGGGCGTCTACACATTCGCGGTTGGTTTAAGTGACATAGAGAGTGTAGAGAGTGAGACCGACTGTCATGAACTTAAATCGCTTGTTGAGGTGGGAGGAGGTGGAGCAGAAGGGCGCAGAGGAGAAGCTGGCGGCGGAGGAGGAGCAGCAGCAACTGGTAGTCAGACAAGTAGCTGTGAGGAAGCAGGTCAACAGGAGTGGGTAGATAAGGCCCCCGAGATTCTACCCCACAGCCTGGCCCTAGAGTGTTACATGGTAGGTGTTCCCGACACACTCGCCGCTCTCTCTCTCTCGTGCTTGTGTTGAACAAGACCGAACTGAATTTTTTTTTAACTCGGAAAACAGTAAGGTGAAATAAATCCTTGCTAATTTCTATTATTTTTAATCACGCCCCTTCAGAATATCAATACAGGTAATCTTCAACATGTTCATTAAGTGTCTAGCCTGAAAAAATCGAATTTAGGGACATGGGACGTGCTAATGTCTCTTGAATTAATTTCACCCATCACTTAAGGTCTAATTACCCGAAATTCAACTTACTAAGGCTAGTGTCGTAATTAGCATATCGAGGATTACCTGTAATACAATTTTCGAAGGTCTGTGCAACATGCAACACGCGTTTCACACCTACATTTTCCTATCAACACTAGCATGACCGAACACCTAACAAAACAAAAGGATTAGACTGTGTTGTTTTGTGTGTGTGTCCTGTGACGATAAGGCCAGCCGTCTCCACCTGTAACACTGTAGGCTGCCTCATGTTATTAATTCTGTCACTGTTTTTATTCCTGTCACGTTACGGATGTGTACACTTATCATCGCTGTGTGTGTTTCTCTGTTTGTGTGTATTTGGATGCATGTGTTTTTTTGTGCTACTTTGAGTGTTTGTGTACGTTTGAGCATTCTAGAAATTGTGTTTGTGTAAGTACAGGAAATACTGTATTAGATCAGGGATTAGTTATTTATTTTAACTATAACTTATTTTCAGTTATTTTGTTTCATCTGTTAGTTTTTTATTTCAGCGTTTCATTTCTGGTCAACTTGAATGTACTGTTTGATGATATTGATAAAGACTTTTTCTTTCATTCTCGTCAACTCGCGCGGGTCGTGATAAACTTGAACCAGGTTATCGCTGATTGAGTTACTTCGTCGTTCACACGCATATGATACTATGTGTCAGACACGTAGAAAGGAAACGTAATACAGTAACTTAATACGTGTGGCGTAGGGCGTTATCCGAAGCCTTACGACGATATCTGATAAACTGTTCGGTACATGAATTTGAAACTTGGTCGAGCTGTGGAGGGGAAACGAGTCCTTGGTTCCGGTTAACATTTTAATACACAACACTTCTAGAGCTTGACACATGTTGTACCCAAGAAGTACGTGCACGAGCCTTGGGTAGAGCTGGGATGTTTACGCTACAGTAACTGACCGTACCATCGCCAGCATAGCCCTCTCAACGCCAATCAACTACATAGCTCTACAGCACGCCACCTTCATAGCCTGTGTTAACATTGGTAGTGAGAGTGTAGTACTATAGCATGTAGTGGACGAGGTATCAATATGATATCTGTTTTGCTTTTCAGGAAATGTAATTGCTAGAGCAGAACTTTGCCGACAAGAGTGCGTGGCGAAGGATGGGCGAGATATAGCATTATTAGCTTATATAGTAGGGTGAGTGGGGTAGCCTGTAGGTGTGTGGTAGAACCTAGTACCGCTGGGGACAAGGAGCATGTGCTGGTCTTGTACTGTTTGTTTATACTGTACGCACACCACTTGTTGATGCCTTGCTAGGTATAACACGCCTGGTATGTTGTGTCTCACCTGTGTCTCACTCTTTATCTTTCTTTCCTTGTGTGTGTAACTGTGTGTCTCTATATATATGTGTGTGTGTGTGTGTGTGTGTGTGTGTGTGTGTGTGTGTGTGTGTGTGTGTGTGTGTGTGTGTGTGTGTGTGTGTGTGTGTGTGTGTGTGTGTGTGTGTGTGTGTGTGTGTGTGTGTGTGTGTGTGTGTGTGTGTGTGTGTGTGTGTGTGTGTGTGTGTGTGTGTGTGTGTGTGTGTGTGTGTGTGTGTGTGTGTGTGTGTGTGTGTGTGTGTGTGTGTGTGTGTGTGTGTGTGTGTGTGTGTGTGTGTGTGTGTGTGTGTGTGTGTGTGTGTGTGTGTGTGTGTGTGTGAACACTTTCTGCTATGTACTTTAAACACAGTATCCATACACTCTTTGGTAGTTCTTCTCCTCTGTGTGTGTCGTAAAACTGTGTCCCTACATTGGTTGGTGTGATCCTGTGTGTGTGTGTCACGTGATGGTGTGGTGTAGCAAGTCCCCCACTAGACACTATAACTCTACTGTACACTCTTCTGTTGGTTGGTGATGTTTGTCCTCCTAATGCACCATGTTGTGTAGAGCTGTGTCTTTCACCTGGTCACCAGTGTTGTGGTGCACACGCCTCCTACAGTAGTGCCATGGAATATTAGTGGATGATGTAATACATACAGTAGATATCTGAAGAATGATAATCGCAATTGAAAAAAATACATATGCAGTAGTTTGTGTATGGTAAGTGGTAGTGAAGGAGAACGGTTTGTAGTAATGATGTGTTTGTTTGTCCGACAGATGGACTCGAGCACGTGCCTGGAGCTGGCCCTCGAGGGTGAGCGGCTCTGCAAGGCTGGCGACTGTCGGGCTGGCGTGGCTTTCTTCGAGGCTGCCATACAAACAGGCACAGACGACCTCCGCACCCTATCCGCCATCTACTCTCAGTTAGGCAACGCTTACTTCTACCTGGGGGAGTACGACAAGGCCATGGAGTACCACAAGCTGGACCTCACCGTCGCCAGGTGAGTGCCGCCCCTTCTCCCGGCTCTCCTCCATCACTGATCTTGTCACTAAACGCCATATTCATTACATCTCTATAACCACATGCTAAATTCACCCCCAATGTTTACCAGCTTCACACTTTCAATTTTATTTTAATTTTTTTTCATTACTTGTGACCAGTTTATTATATATTTTCAGCTAATTTATGGGTTTTCTCTTTAAAATAGGGTTTTATTTTCACACATACAAAAGTCAAACTTCCAAATATAGTGCTGAAGGTCGACGATTATTATTGACACAGAATTAACCCCCCTGAGTACATTGACTTATTAACTTAACTCCCATGTGTACGGTGACTTAACCCTCGTAAGCGCTCCGCCGTCTTAAACAAGGAAAGCTTAAACTATCTGATTCAAGTCATCTTACTCAAGATTCACTGTACTCACGGGGGTTAACATCGTACTCAAGGTGTTAAGCGTATAAGAGCATCGCGATAAAGTCTACGGTCTCACGCTGCCACAGTTCACTATCAATCTCGATCACTTGACCCCAATTAGCTATCTCTGTGCTTATGAGTTAATATTTTTTTTCTCTAATGCCTTTTCACCTAAGAAGAAGACTCATTTTACCTTTGTCTTTTTTTTTCAATATCATATTACTGTATTCCTTCAGTTGTGTTGCCTCCAATGTGTTGATACTGTACCTGGAAATTGACATGTGTGTAGTGAACTTTTGTGTTTATATATTTCAGAGAAGGAATGTTGTATAGGATTGTGTTGCTACATATCACCAAGTACGATCATCAAGTTTCCAATCTTAATGTATTTGGAGATCAGCATTTAGAGTATTGCAGCACTGTATTACCTTATTTGAGTATTGTATTAATAACAGGTGTTTGCCATGGGTATCTGTCGTGTTTGAGTCCTTGACGAATTTAGAAAGTCTCCCTAAGATAATTTAAAAGGAATTTCTAGATTTTTTCTTTTATTTTTTTCTTGGGTTTTATTAGTGAGATTATATAGAGTACTGTACTGTAGAGGTGAAGATTTATGTGTAATAATGAAGTGCTTTTGGCAGTCTGTTTCTCATTAATTAGTCTTTACCTTATATTGCATAGTCTTTACCTTACACCACATAGTCTTTACTCTTTACCTTACACCACATAGTCTTTACTTTATACCACATAGTCTTTACCTTATACTGCATACCGGTAGTCTTTACCTTACACCACATAGTCTTTACTCTTTACCTTACACCACATAGTCTTTACTTTATACCACATAGTCTTTACCTTATACTGCATAGTCTTTACCTTACACCACATAGTCTTTACTCTTTACCTTACACCACATAGTGTTTACTTTATACCGCATAGTCTTTACCTTATACTGCATAGTCTTTACCTTACACCACATAGTCTTTACTCTTTACCTTACACCACATAGTGTTTACTTTATACCGCATAGTCTTTACCTTATACTGCATAGTCTTTACCTTACACCACATAGTCTTTACTCTTTACCTTACACCACATAGTCTTTACCTTATACCACATAGTTTTTACCTTATACCACCTAGTCTTTACCTTACACCACACAGTCTTTACCTTACACCACACAGTCTTTACCTTACACCACATAGTCTTTACCTTACACCACACAGTCTTTACCTTACACCACACAGTCTTTACCTTTCACCACATAGTCTTTACCTTACACCACACAGTCTTTACCTTACACCACACAGTCTTTACCTTACACCACACAGTCTTTACCTTTCACCACATAGTCTTTACCTTTCACCACATAGTCTTTACCTTACACCACATAGTCTTTACATTACACCACACAGTCTTTACCTTTCACCACATAGTCTTTACCTTATACCCCACAGTCTTTACCTTACATCGGTCTTCACATCACAGTCTAACCTCATACTACAGCTTAACCTTTGTCAGGACTCGAACCTGTGACTGCAAGTCCCAGTCATCTCTAGCCTCTGAAAGCTTCCCCTGTTAACATAGAAGAATGCTGCACAGTTTGGTCTGGAATGGGACTTAAACCCCTGCTATTCAACCCTTGTGGAAATCATTTAATCAAGCCTAACTGGTCTTAACTAGGGCTCAGTTTCCAAAGAAAATACTCCAGTCATTGTTGTACACAGAAAATGTATAACAGTAGTATACAAAGAGAATGCCTTACAGGATATGTATACAGTATTATCTTTGACTGGTGGATGTTTCTGTTGAACAATTTTAATCGTAGGAAGTTGAAGAATGTGTCTTTTAAAGTGGCTAATTGATACTAAAGGTTGGTTTAAGAGGAAAATGGTACTTCAATCAAAATGTTATTCTTGTTTGGAAATTAAGTGGTGAATCATATTAGCATTTTGATTGTCAATTTCATGGAATAGTTCACCTTTTATGAAAATGACAAACACTGCATCAGTCACTAGAAGGATGCCTGCATAAAGATTATGTAGCAATAATATTATATATTAGTGTTATTGTACTCTGATTATTAGGTGGGAAACCTGATGGTGATATATTCTGCTGTTAACAAAGTCTGCAGAGATTAAAGAAATATATTGTGAACTGATGAGTTAGAGTTTAGTGGAGTCACAAATCAGGCTGCATCAAGAAACTGACATAATATGACTGAGGAAATTTGTCTCTCCTGCAGACATTAAATGTCACTCACAGACCAGGATTACCCTGTAATACAGGTCGGTCGTCCCCAGTCCTCTAGGTCCCACCTTAAAGCAATAGTTATAATTAGCATAGTACAGTACTCATTAGCACTTGACTCCAATCCTCATGGTTCAATTAGCTTGGGCCCTATTATGACTGGCACCCATAAAACCCATTGCCTACACAGGATATTACTTGATTCAGTATATATATAAGAATGAAGGTGGTGATGGAGTTTTATGAAAATGCAGCTCTTTCATTATTTATCAACTCGTAAATGGGACAGCAAGGATGGCTAAGTGATAGTTGATAGAGGAGAGTGTGAGATGAAGAAGGTTAAAGGGGATGATACAGTGGGTGGTAACACTGGGAGACCAGGTTGTTGCGGTGTTATCAACTGTCTAGGGAGCATGTGCTTTCTTTTTAACACTGACTGACTCTTTGACACTAAATTTTATGTATTAATTTTTATGTAACCTCTCTGTATATATCGCTATGTGGTGTGGACTGATAATTACATGTAAGTCTATGAGTACAGACACAAAGGAGGTACGGTTACTAAGAAATCAGATTGTCACTCATTACCCATTGCCTAAATCTGTACGCTACTCCATGACAACACTTTTCACTACCATTGTCTGTGTTTCACTTATACTTTCCCTTCACTTTACATTTAACAACCTTTGCTTTCAAGTACCTGTACACACACCTCCACCACACTTTATCCCCACATACTTGTCCAATCATCTCTGAATATTACCATTTTTCACCCTTATCACTCTTATTATTCCTAACCTAAGTTTAAAGATGCCTTGGTAAGACAATCTTCTCGTTGTTGTTATCATCCACTCATGCTTCAATACTGTATATCAAATTAGAATGAACTTAACCTTCCAACAAACATCAACCAAACAGCTGGCTTATTTTTTTATATCATAATCTCTTGTGGAGCATGGCCCTTTCAAAGCACTGTTCAGGATTAGTTCTCCCATCCTTGCTAAACATGCTCTTCTGGTATTTGGGACAGTGACGTTTCATCAATCTTCTCCCATCCAAGACAATTACTTTTCAATTTCAACTTTGTTTTCTCACTTACAGTAATCTTTAAAATTCCGAGTGTAATCGCTTTGCTCTTTCCCCCATATGCAGTACAGCATTCTTAGTACTGTACAAAATTATACTTTTATCTTCTTCCGTCCATTTCCATCTATTAATGTGTATATTATTAGCTAAGACATCCTTTTCCACTCCATGCATAAAGCCAACAGTATAGAGCATAACAATATATTACATCTGTCTTACCATCAGCCACTGATTCCCCCAGATTATTATTGAGTATTCCTTGTCTCTTAGAAACTCTGCACCTCTTCCATCATGTTTCCTTTACTCCACATTTTGTAGCGCATTACTAGTCCAATTCTTATACTGTCCTGTATTCAGATTAAATTTGATGGTTGATATACTGTATGATGTGACTGCTTCTATCTATTTAGTATAAGACATTTTATAGGAATGAAGGCTATCATGTCTTCAATTGTAAATTATGTTTGTGTGTACAGTAGTCTCTTGTACTGGTTATAGTGTTGTTATTAGTGATGATCAGAAAATGGCCTGATGTATGAAATATTTGCCTCTCTGGTTATGCAGGACAATGGGAGACCGTCTAGGTGTGGCCAAGGCATCAGGGAACTTAGGCAATACACTGAAGGTGATGGGCAAATTCAAGGAAGCTATATGTTGCTGTGAGCGCCACCTCTCTATATCACAGGAGCTTGAAGACAAGGTGAATATGTTATCACTGCCTTATGGGGGTTCCCTAACTAGAACATATTCAGTACAACATTATATTGTTAGGATAATTAATAAAACTTCATTTAAAATTTCTGTCTTCTGTGTTGTACCTCTGACCTGGCACTGTTTATGACAACAATTACCTTACACTATTTTCTATAGTAGATTATAAATTCAACATATGAACAAATTTAAAACAAAGGTAAAAAAATATTTAAAGTACTGTATTCATATGTGCATACAGTAGTATATAGAAGTAGATGTACAGTTTTGAATGTATTCACTCAAGTGCAAGCATATTTTCTTGCAAACTGATTTTTTTCCTTAGTTATATCAACCTTTTCATGTGGTTTAGAGGCTACATAATGTACAGTACTTCTATTTTTGTGAACAAGCTTTTAAGAATTTCTGTTTCCCTCCTCCATTAAGGTTGGAGAAGGACGAGCTCTGTATAACCTGGGTAATGTATACCATGCTCAAGGTAAACACCTGGGACGTATAGGGCCGCAGGAGCCTGGTGGATTTAGTGACGAAGTTAAACATTGTCTTCAGAAAGCTGTAGAATATTATGCGTGAGTGTTACCTTCCCTACCTTCACTGAATGTCATGTGCATGATCAGCCAATAACACCAACACATCTTGAAAAATTACACACTATTGCTGTGACACTTTTTTTTATTAGGATGTACAGGTCAAAGTTTCAGTCCAACTAGGGTTCTACATTAATGCTATACAGTCACTAGTGTTTGTGGGTATGATCATCACATAACTCCTTGTAGTTTGCCAGAAAACTAGGCCACTGATATTTTTTATTCATCATTTTACTGTGAACCATTACCTGGTATTAGTTCATAAAAAGTACTGGAGAATTAATGTCATTCTCTTGGTATCATAGTCAGTAAGTCATTGTAGATGTCCTTGTTGTCTTTGTAAACAATGATAAGTTTTATTTATAGCTTAATTAGATAGTAATGAAACATTTAAGTCACCAAAACCTGATGGACAAACTGTGCTACAATAATTTGTTTTCCTAGGCATAATCTTATAGTATCATCTTATCACTTCCTTGAAAATTAGATCACTGTGACTTAATGCTCATGATTATCTAACAAGGGCTAAAAAAAATTTACTTATATAATTAGGAATGGAGTGAGGATTATTAACTGATAATTATTGATATCTTTTGATATATAAATCTTAAAACAGGTCAATTCATTTATATTAAAACCAGTCAACTTCACTAATAAAATTAACCATTATTTTTCTAGTGCCAATTTGCGCTTGATGGAGGAACTCAATGACCGATCAGCTCAGGGTCGGGCGTGTGGAAATCTGGGGAATACCCACTACCTCCTGGGAAATTTTACTCAGGCTATTAGCTACCACAATGAGGTAAGAAGCCACTTGTTATACTGTACAGTACATCTGTATATACTTGTATACATTATAAGTCAAACTGCATAGAAATTACTTTTCTTTTTATAAAGCATTACATTTATGATACTATCCGGCATTCTCATCATTTTAATAGTGTACTGTATGTACAGTACTGTACAGGTATCCCCAATTTACGATCTCCTTATTTTCAATATTTTGCTTGAACAATGGTGATGTATTAAGACCACCCCCCTAATTATGACAAAAAAAAAAATCGCCTGAACGATGGTCATTTTCTGGCCAAAACCGCTGTCGCAGTAGCTCGATGCTTGTCTGTCAGTATCGGTGTTGTTACTTATTATTGGCATTTTTTATTACTTTACAGTGAGAGGACATATTGTTCACATTGTACTCTGTTTAGGTGACTGTGAAGTGATTTTTTTTTTTTTTTGTGACTGTAAAGTGCTTTGCCACTGTTGTTGTGAACAAGATGAGAGCAGTGTTGGCCACAGTAACGTTATCATTTGCTGTTTTTTTGTGACAAGCGCTTTTACTGTTTTTGTGACTCTGAAGTGAGCAGTGTAACTTTGAAAATGTCTATGAAGGCCAAAGCACCCAGGAAAACCGTGTCTCTGGAGGTGAAGCTTGACTTCCCAGAGGCTGTGTGGGAGTCAGAGTGATGTCTCCATTTCACCTGCAAGAGTCCCCTTAACCTCGAAGGGGACATGTGATGACGACCAGGCTTGTTCTTAATGATGTGATAAGTGTTGTTTAATTGTGTTGTAGATATATTATTATTTTAGGAATTTTATTTTCAGTGATTCATGTTGGTGTCGGACTGGCTGGGAACATATCCCAATGAACCCCTTGTTATAATGATCCCAATACAATACAGTGCTCCCTCGGTTAATGAACGCCTCGGTTAACGAAATTTTGGTTAATGAATTACCTTCCATAAGAATATTCAATTCGGTTAACGAACAAAAATGCGGTTAACAAAATTCTTACGAAAATGTTTCGACATGCTTTGGCTTGCTCACCAGCTGGAAGATTAGTCCGCCAATACAGAAATCGGTTCTAGGGCTTACATTCGTTAAAATTGGAGTAAATATCAAGAAGGTTGTACTATTCAATAATTTTCCAAGTTTTATATTAAATTTTTTAGTAATTTTAACACTTATTTAACATAATTGGAGTACTGTGCAGGGAACTAGTTTTTGGTGTGCCCAACAGCCACTTCACTCACCCACCAAGGCCTCAGTTTGTATCTCTGTTCAGTGGAGGAAACATCTTGCTTGTGGGTCTCTTGAACACAGAGTATTTTTACGTTTTTACAGTACAATTATTGGTCATTCTGAAATTTATTTAACATATTGACAATATATAGTGCAGTGCGGTGTTGATTTAAAGAAAATAATCTTGAATTACACCTAGTGAACTTAAAATTTTATGGGTGAAATGACGGCATGAAGCATGGGGTGATTTCTCTTCCACCCCCACTTCCTTCTCTTCTCCCTTCTCCTCCACCCCCACTTCTAATTCCCATCATCATCATCAACCAGGAGCCGTCTACATACACACCTCAAAGTAAGTGTACTTTACTGCATTTACTTTTACTTTGTATTTAATTTTCGGTGAGCTGGAACCAATTACCCAAAATCCCATTGAAACAATGGTTTCGGTTAACGAACGACCTTCTGGAACGAATTGTGTTTGTTAACCGAGGGACCACTGTATATGATATTTCGACTTGCGGTGGGTTTTTCAGGAACTTAGCCCCATTGTAAATCAAGGGATGCCTGTACACTGTTGTACTCAAAGGATGCCACTGGACATTGGAATTAAATGTTTTAAGAGATTCTTTTTCTTAAAATGAGTTTCATTTCCAAAATTCATGTTCATAAAATAGTGAAACATTCCAAGAACTATTATATGCTACATCTAAAGTGTTGACATAATGTCATGAGTGTCATGGTTATCACTTATAAACTCTGATGATACATGTAAGCAGTACAGTATATTAACCCTTTCGCCAGCTGATGACACTACAGGTATTTGCATCACTACATGGGCCGTGAGGGGCGAGATGTCTCCCTTGACCCTGAGCAGTGAGCACTCATACTGGCTAGACCACTCGGGTGGGGATCCAGCGCGTAACATAAAGTATTATCGTTCCACACTCATTTTCAGCCATCCCATATATTTTATAAAAGTACTTTCTTCTTTTGTCACCGAGTCATATAGTTTTTATTTTTAACTCAATAAAAAGAAGAAAATAACTGCATTATTTTACTCACAAAGGAATAATAAATTCAATGTACAAATCTATGCATTTTGGATGACGTTTATTGCATCATCGGCCGGTCTACGGGTAAGATTGGCTGCGTTATCAGCCTGTTTATGGGTGAGATTTGGACCGCACAAGCGGCCAGCAAAAGGGTTAATACTGTATAACCCATATAACCATTTCAGTAGTATGGAAAGCAGAACCATGGGGTCAGTATTGTCCTCTCAGTAGTATGTGATCCATAGCATTTAAGAGCAAAGTTTTAGTGTAGAGTTAGTAATGTCATGATTTTCATTCTAAAAAAAATTTCTGTGAAGTAGTCAGGTACTGTTTTCCTTACATAAGGTTGAATAACTGAAAGAGAAGATAATTAATTTCAAAGTACTGTATGATGTAGCTGAACAGATGTTTGTGAAGTACAGCACAGTATATAAATTTCAGAGTTTTTCATATTTTTCCAACATACAATACAGTATATTATCAGTACTGTATAAATGAAATAATGTTACCTCATAAAGTATTTTTTGGTTGAGTTCCTTCTGATTTATGAAATTCTGTGAGTAATTATTTATTCCTTCAGAGATTAGCCATTGCAAAGGAATTTGGAGATAAAGCAGCAGAGAGAAGAGCACACAGTAACTTAGGGAATGCTCACATATTTCTTGGAGAGTTTGAAACAGCGGCTGAACACTATAAGTGAGTGTTACGTTTTCATTGTACAGAGTAAATGTGAATATTGAAGGCGATTCTGTTTGTAGATGACACTGTTCCTGTGGGCATTATAGGAGTAAAGTTATAAATGTTAGTGAATAAATTTGAAATAGTGAGTACTTGGAGTAAGTTAATCGTGAATATGAAGGAAAGGAAAGTGATGAAAATAAGTAGAGATGGAAAAGAAGACTATTAGCTTGATTGTGAATAGAATGGGAGAAGTGAAGAGTTTCAGATATTGTGGCGTGGTTGTGTTGGCAAATGGAACACTTAGTGATGAATCAAATATTGGCCAGAGGAAAGAAGATAAAAAGTACTATAGATTGAGAAACTCCAGGAGACACAACCACATTAAAGGAGTCGAAATGGTAGATGCATAGGGGTATCATTGAGCTGGATGTAAGAGAAAGGAGCAAATTAGAAGCAAAAGAAATGGCATATTTAAGGTGAATAAGAGGTAGGGAGTATAAATGAGGAGGAGGGGGATGTGTCGAATAAAGAGCTGATCAAGTTTGGCTCAGGTTTTGTGGACACAGTGAGAGTATGAGAAGTGAATGATCTGTAAAATGAGTGTATGAACCAGGGATGGATGGAAGGAGAGAGAGAGTGTGTGTAAAAGACCAAGAAGGAGATAGAAAGATGCATTAAAATTGACTGGGATAGACAGACATCCAGGAAGCAGCAGCGGTGTGTTTGAGTGTGCAGAGAACATGGTCACAGTTGCTGATGGGTGTTACTGGATTGTGTATAGCAACAGGGATATACCAGATGGATATTTGGAGCATTGTTGTAGAGGGGAGTACCATCGTAGGTATGACAGTAAAAATGAATGTCTGACAAATGAGGCATCACTTAAAGCAGGGACATAAGTGCTAATTTGAGATGATGGTTTTTCTATTTTCTATTTTCGGTTCTCTTGAAAAATAATTTCCCTATTCCACACAGGGCTACAAATCCCCCAAAATTGCTGATATCTCAAAACGTCAGATTGACACTTATGCCCCTGCTTTAGGTGACATCTCTCCTGGTGGAGAATATGTATGTATGCAAATTCCAGCCCTCTACAGTAAGTGGGAAAAGACTAGAAAGAGTGATAGAAATGAAATAGGAATAGTGTATGGAAAAGGGATAAAATAATTGGTGGACCACAAGTAGAGAGTTGGAACCAGGTATACATTATTTCCCATATAAATTATGGTAATTTTGTTTGTTCTTTAAAAAAAACCATGTGTTTAACTCACTGAAAATCATGACTATTATATCTTTACAGAAAAACCTTACAGTTGGCCCAGGAACTCGGTGATCGTGCCGTAGAAGCCCAGGCATGCTACTCTCTTGGTAACACATATACACTTTTGCGAGACTATCCTATGGCCATCCACTATCACCTACGACATTTAGCTATAGCAGAGGAATTGACAGATAAAGTCGGGGAAGGACGGGCATGTTGGAGTTTGGGAAATGCATACTCGGCCACAAATAATAATGAGAAGGCTCTTCATTATGCTACTAGACATTTAGAAATTTCTAAAGAGGTGAGAAGTCTTGTGGTATTAATTGTTTCCATAAATCTGTAATGCACACACAGTACTGTACATTTTTATTTTACCATTTTTGTGACTTTCTGATATTTAAAGTTGCGCAGTTCACTTTGTTTGTTTTGAAGGTCATATCACAGATTGCTTATCTCTTGCTTGCTCTCACAAGATGATTCCTGCTTGAATTACGAATCACCCTTAAAAATTCTGTTTTGCCTTCTACAACTAAAGGTATATTCTTACTTCGCTGGATGATACACAAGTAAACTTTACTTTTCATATGAAGATGTTCATGAAATTATGGGGATTCTTCTTAACACTTTTGAATAAATCAACTAAATAAAATTTAATACACATCTTTTTAAAACTATTGAACATTGTATTGTACAATTATTCAAGAAAATTTCATATCAACAACCAACAGATTGGAGACAAGACAGGTCAAGCAGCAGCACAGATGAACCTCAGTGACATACGAAAAGTTCTCGGGCTTCCTCCTACTCCAATTGATTCAGAGTCTTCTGAATCTGCTGAAGATGCCAAATCAAGAACTCGGAGGAAGTCTATGGAAAATATGGATCTTCTCAAGGTAGTTCTGTAGTTCATTAAGTTAATTTTGATGAGTTTGCTGAGCATGGACATTCTGTTTGATTATCTTCTTTGTATTGAATATTGAAATTACTTATTTTGACTCTACTGTAGTTTGATGCTCTTTGGAACTGTAATGATGTGATAGCTTCACTTACTCCAGCATCCACCCTTAGTAAGCTTGGGAAGTTTCTGTGGAAGTCTGTAGTGTGATGAAGTGAATGACATACATCACATTTATTTGTAATTACTAATAACACATCTATTCTAAGGTATTACCTTGAAGTACACAGATGTCTTTGATGCTTTTGAGGCAGCAATTATCTACTACAACATTCCGCCTAGAAAACTTATTGAATCTCATAAATCCAATTTGCAGAATTATCATACTGTAATTGATTCTTGAGTACTGTATACACATTAATATAGGTGCAACTGCTACACCGACCATTCTCATTGCAGTATAGTATTATGGTTCTTCTTAACTTACATGATTATTTCCTAAAATATCATCCACTTGGGATTCTCTTTGATCAGTTGGCATATAATTTTATTTATTTATTTTTTTTTTTTTTTATACTCCTAAAAGTATTACAGTACTGTATATGAATGTACAGGTAGACATAATTTGTCTCTAACATGTTCAAAATCTTGAGTAGGTGTATACCCCAAGTGGGGCATGTACAGTAACTGCCTGACCTAACACAAGGAGATGTAAAAGTGAGTGGGCCACTAGTGGTACTGGTGTTTCACAAGGAACTTGTCCACCCCACATCATCTTGGTGTGGCAGACACAAATGGCCGTTGGGGTGTGACAAACAGATGCAAAGATTGACTGGTCTTTGGATCTATTTGTGTTAAGTATTTTGACTAGTTGTCTTAAGCTTTTTTCTGTCTATGTTCTGCATTTGTTTTGCACCACTTTATCCCCCTATCATATCTTCTCTTATATTGAGGTGGGAAGAGGTACATGTATAATATTTTCAAGCTGTGTGCAGTACTCATTCCATGTAATTGAGAATAGAGTACAGGGTGTGTAATGGATAAGTAACTTATCCAAAGAGGGTGTGACAGCCGAATGGCTACAGAGCCCACCTCCTTCCCTAAGGGTTGTTGATTCACCTCCAGTCCACCCAGCTGTGAATGAATATCTAACTTTACAGTTGTGAATAAAGGCAATCAAATGTATTGTTGGCCACACTGCTTCCCTATTTACTTAAGGCTTATTATTTGGTGTGTCATTTTTCCTGCCCTCAAGGGTGCAAGGCAGATTAACTAAAAATATTGTTTATGGTTTTGTATATTGTGGCAAGTAGCCAGTGCACATTTACAGGAATATCTCATAATTTTCCTTTTTCTATAAACATTTCCTCGGCCACTGTTCTGACTAATTATACACAGATTCAGATTTGACCCCGAGGGGGCTAGTTTATTGGGCACCCCCTTACATCCTGTGCAAGGTGAAGCGCAGAAGCGTTTACAGCGCCCAACAGGGAAGTATGAAAAGTTCATACTTGCCTTTATGACTCGTACATTAAGGGCGTAAAAGCCTGAAGGGTCATAGGTTCTGTCAAGTTACATAAAGTGAGAGAATGATGAGTGTGTGGGGGGAAAGTTCCCGGTACATTTTATCTGTTTATGGCAAAGTGTGGCAGGTCCCTAATATTGTCAAATGCCAGGCCTGTGACTAGGAGGAGGGATATCTGGTCTGGGAGGGAAGAGGTGTTGGTAACGGCTGGGGACCTATAGGAGGAGGTCATAGGGCAAGTGAGGATGTAGTGAGAGAGGGTGTGAGAGTCGGGTTGGCCACAAAGTTTACAAACAGTTAATTATACACAATAATGTCCTCACCTTACACCCACCTCTGTGGCATATGAGGGCATATAGGAGGATCCAAACCTTTGTTGTCAATATATCTTCTAACTCAACACCTCGAATTAACTCTGTGGAATTCTTTGCCTGAATTTTTCTACACTGTATGACCACCAACATTTCAATACGTTCTGATTCGAGTATATTCAGACTATGGCAAGGGGATGCTTTGGTGAAGAGATTTGACATTGACACTTGTTTGATATCTTCATGCACCATTTATTTGAAGAAAAAAAAAAGTAACTTATCAGTGACCCATCGGTCATGGACCGAGTTGTGTTACTTTGTACATTTCATTACTGTACTGAAAATTCTACAATACATTAAAAAGCTCAGAACTTATTCTGTGAAATCTTTAAGTTAGAAAATCTTTGTTTTACTGTATTTTATATACAGTATAATAAATTCAGTGTTTGTATGAACAAAGTATATTTTGAAATTTAAATGGACAATTAATATTTATTCATTCATCTTTAATGTGATCAATCTTCATTTATAGAATTTCAGTGTTTAGTCTGTATTGTTTTTTATATGTTGCTTCAGTTAGTATATGTTTAGAAATTGTGAGTCTGGGCATTATTTGTAGCTATCATAATATTTTCTTTTTGGTATGAACAAATATAATTTCTTATTTTCCTTCAATAGTATTGCATTTAATTTGACATTACTGCCTACTAAGTAAATATATTATAGGTGAAATTTGTCATTTACTGCAAGCCTGCCTGTTCGTGCTTAAAAAGTCTGTACAGTATTTTGGCATCATCGCTGTGACTTCAGGTTACACTACTGAATAGTGGGTTGCTCTGGGAAGTATTTTCAATAAAATATTTAAGGGAGTCCTTGCGGACATTTCAGATGACGCCCGATGCTAAAGGCGTACTTCGGAAATACCAGAGTGAAGATGCTGGTATTGGCTCACTGTCCTCTGATGACTCCCATCCCGTAAATGGCCCCTCCTTCAACACTAGTTCTCATGCTGATAAAAATGTGCGTGTCCACTCTTTTCATCTAGTAACTTTACAGAACACCCATCATTTACATTCAATTGATTTAACATTAGCTATAAATTTATGTGATATACTGTAGATATCATGTGGGTGTTATGTAATAGTAGCCTTTAAACCACTTTATGTGGTAGATATCTAAAAGTCTTCAGTAGTGTTGTATTATAACCATACAATTTAGCTTCCCAAATGAGTTTACATCAGTAGACTCTTGAAATATTTTTATATTCAGTGAATCCAAAATAATGCTTTAGATTACCTTTTTTCCTTGTATGTAGAGTGCATATGTTCTATTTAGTTAGTATGAATCCAATTTATTACACTTCATATGTATCACATTTGGAAAAACGTTTGATCACTTTCATTACTTTTCCTGTCTCCTTATATCGTATTGCTTGTAGTGTATTATGCTGATGCCACCTTTATTCTTTTCATATAGTCTTATTCTTTTGATGCAAAGCAGGTAATGTCTGTTTCAGTTATGTGAGACTAGTCAATATTGAGGTTATCTGATAATTTAACTCTCCCTAAGTTTGGGTATTTATATGTGGAGATCAGCTCCAGAGCCACAAGCGTTACTGGGATGAGGCAGTACAGTACTGTATCTCCCAGGATCTCATCTGTGCACAGGCTTGGTTCTAGAGGGATTCTGAGATATACCTGTACTCCCTATGTTGTTTTAGAAAATAGGTGATCTGTGAATAAATTTTAATAAAATTTCAACATATTATGTTTTCTGCAAAGAAATCAGGAAGCCCCTGATATCAACTTCAGGTAGGCATTACATTTCCTGTTATTAATGTTATTTCGCTGGCACAATATCAGTGTTATCATAACACATAGTCACACCTCACCAGTTTGTACTTCCAGTATTTTTTAAAACAAAAATAAAATTAAAATATCACATATGTGCATATGATAAATAATATCGAATTACAGTAACTATATCATATGGCTCCAAAAAGTAAATATTTCCTGTTCCATCACAGTTCAGTACATTATAAATATCCTACATGTTAACTGAATATGAAATAGCTAGAAATATAACCATCTCCAATTAAAAAATTTTATAATTTTTTTTATATAAAATTATATGGTTCTGTATAGTCTTCTAATTTTTAAAGAAAGAATAAGCATGGAATTGGCGGGAAAATTTGTATCCAGAGAATATTAGGAAGGTACAGTTATTGTTCACTCAAAAACATCAAGTTTTTCTGGGTCACTGAGGTGATATCAATACCTAAAATCATGTGATTATACACCCATATTGAAATTAATGGACAATAAGATTAAATGTTCTAGTTTAGTGACGGTCTTGATTCTAAACTAAAATTGCTCCAATAAAGAGATGGTGTACATTATTGCTCCTAACACATCATGTAAGTGGAGTAGGGAGGGATATGTTCAGACATTGCAACACCATAGTGATATTGGGCTACTCTTGTGTTACTGATCACTGGTCAAATTAGTGAGTCTCATCTCATCTAGCAAAGCATATTTACATGGATTTTGATGACCTCAACAACAGCTTTACAAATCTTGCTGCTGTGCCTCCTGGGTCTGTTACTGTATTGTTATGACTGTTTTTAGTGTACTGTATTTTCAAGAAAAATTTTGATTTATGAGCAGAAATACTTTATAAAATATTAAGTATAAGTGGGTGAGTCTTAGGACCAAATAACTGAATGACAGAAAAAATATATAAATAAATATATGATTAACGGATGACAATCATGACGAGAAGGAAAGAAAATATATGACAGCAAAACTAGTGTTAGTGCCATTAAAGAAATATGTAAGGATAATAAAAAGTGTGTGATGAGAGGATTTCACTTTGAACAAGTGTGTAAAACCGAGCAAAGAATTTCTTTAAAGAACACGGACTCAAATGTTGCTCGTCTTTTAATTTGTTCATATTTTACTACTGAGAATTAAAATATTTTTTTTTTTTATCCCCTCGACCAAATGCTGAAGGTATTCATGTTATTCATTCATCCATGGGTATAAAATTGTTAGAACAATAACTTCGTTTCTGTATTAAGGCTTGTCAATAAAACTTTAAACTAAACATAAAACCTCCATTGGTAGAGAAAAAACTACTATAAATTTTGGTAGTCATCACATCATAGGTCAGAGCCTTATGTTGGAGATGTCACTCTACTGATCGTTTGAGTATATTTTTCAGGCTTTATATTTCGTTTAATTTTCTGATCTAAGACTTACTGCTGATGAAATATTTGCTTTTCTTCAAAATAAATGCCCTGTGCTTTTAATTAAAGGAACCATTTTCATAATACTGTACTGTACATAAGTTCTACATATCTCCTAATTGCTTGTTTATGATTTATCATAGTATACAGTACTAAAAACATTTTTCTTAATTATATTTTATTTATTTGTAGAAATTATTTTGGGTCACCCATCATTGGTACCAAATTGAAAAATAAATTACACATAATTCTCTTCAACAAAAATGTTTCTGTGTTGCCAGACATCGGTGAATGAAGAATCTAGCATGGACGATGAGAGTTTCTTTGAGCTTCTGTCCAGGTTCCAAAGTAAACGGATGGATGACCAACGGTGTACACTGTCTATTGATAGTAACAAAGAGAATCAGCCAGAGCAAGCCCAGCAGCAGGTGCCTACCCACAGGGAAGGAGGATCCCTTTCATCTAATGGATCTACAAATGGCACAACCACCCCATCTGATAGTGGTGCAAGTGAGTTTACTGTTGTTGCATGGCCTGTTCATTTTACATATTTCTATTTTGAACATTGCTAACTATGCAGCTGTTATTCCAAATTATGCTACATTCTCTTTTTCTGAACTTAGGATACTGTAACTAAAATTCATGGAAGAAATTATTTAAAGTTTATTTTCAAATAAATTTCATGAATTATTATTTGGAGCAATATCAGGGGTGAATAGGTTACAGACAATATGAAATACAAAAATAAGGAAATGTGGAAGTGAAAGAATTGTTTGGCAGAGAGCAGGTCAGGGTCTATCTACTAAGGTGGAATGGACACATTTGGTATAAAGAGTATTGTACACTTTACAAATTCAGAGGTGGTTAGTCCTAGAGAAAGGGGAAGACCAAGAATGTGTTGGGAAAATGAGGTACAGGATGTCCAAGCTGTAAGATATTTAAGTAGCAGCAGCAGTGTGTGTGTGTGTGTGTGTGTGCATGTGTGTGTGCGTGCGTGGAGCCAAGTGCTGAGTGATGTTTGGGAAAAGTGTGTTGCTTATAGGTAATGATAGGTTGTGTGAAACAGATGGATCTATCACTGCAGTAAAAATGGCTGAACGATAACGAATGAAGGGAGAATGTGAGTGTAATTGCTCTTACTTCCAGCCAACCTGCATTACTGTATAGCAGAAAATTACCTGAAAGGTTCAGGTCACCACACACTGTAGTGGGTAAGGACATTTAAGAGTTAGAAAAAAGCTTCTCCATAGTTAACACTCATGCCACATTCTGTCATGACCATCATTTAGTTGATTTGTCCGAAATATTGTTTCTCCTCTGCATTAACATAGTTCAGTGGGTTGCACATTTACACAGTTATAGCCATCCCATATTCATTCATCTACAACCCATTTTAATTTTTAAATTTGTGTCCTCTGTAAAGTTCTGCCTCTTTGACCTGGACTGTCTCTGGGTTATAGCTTTTTCAGTTGATGATCAGTATGTTTCTTTATCTTCACTTGAATGGTTTACTGTACAGCTACAAATCTCCTGTTAAATTAATAGAAAATTTTTAAACTTTATAAATTAAATTTAACATTGTTTTGCTTAATTAATGCTTCCTTCAGGAATGGAACTTCCTCCTCAACCCGAAATAAAACATGGTAAGCTGTATAGCATGAGGATAAATTGGAATGTATTGTAATTGGAATGTTTAGAATGCAGTACAGTAATCCCCCGGGTTACGGAAGGGATGTGTCCGTGAAAAGTTGACCATAACGTGAAATTCCGTAATGTGAACCCCATTTTCCCATTGACTTCCATTGTATAATTGGATGCACGTTCCTAAAAAAAATTTTTTGGCAAAGAGAAGTAATACAAGCACAATTATGAATGAATCTAAACCTTTTTAAACACATACACATTGATTAATTATTTTATGATATAATATAATAATAAATATACAAAAGACTTGAATTTAACTTGCTACAAACGATGTTTGAGTGCTGCATGAGGTGAGGTGATACAATGGTAGTTATTGGAAGACATAGCAAGCCCTAATGTTTTTGAAACCTGGCAAAGTTTTTCTCCCACACCAAACTACATAAAACATCAAGTTTTATATCCACCGTAATTCATTTAAGGGATCTTTTAGCACCACTGCTTTCACTTGACTTAATGGCCTCTTTCCACCCATCTTGAATAAGGGTAATACATTGGGCAGTCTTGAATAAGTGTTAAATTTAAGAGCTAGGGTTGAGATATCAAGCGTACACACTGGGATATATAAACAAACTGAGTCCAACGGCGTGGGTAGTCTGCGTACCCACTCTTGGTTGTAGCAAACACCAAGAAATCTGCACCAAATAAATTATGTCTGATTTTTTTTTCTCTACACCACGATTTTTCTGTTGAAAATTTGAACATTTTCCCCATTTCCGTAAGGTATAATTTATGGTTTGTATCCCAATTTAGTGGTCATAATTTACAAATTATATATCTGTATGGTCAAATTTCTGCAACCTGAGTTTCTGTAATGTGGGGGATACCTGTAGTTAAAATTGTTATGCAAGTTGAGCTACTGGTATTGATAATTAATTTTTAGAATTCATAATTTTTTTCTTCTAAAATTTCAATTATTTTTTCATGATGAAATTCAGAATTTTGATTATAAAAACAAAGGTTATTTTTTTTATAGAAAGCTGCTCTTAAATTTAATAATGCTGTTTTTCCCAGATAATTGTGGAGTTTTGGAAGAACTGATGGAGAGTATTGCAGGCATGCAAAGTCGACGAATGGATGAACAGAGAGCATCATTACCTCAGTTACCAGGTTTGAATAACCAACATGCCATCCTTCAACGATTGTCTGTAGCCGCCAGTGATTCAACACCTCTCCCAGATGACAATTTCTTTGACATGCTTATGAGATGTCAGGTAAGGGCATAAAAGAGGTTTGTCTTAGTGTTTTTGCAAGTTATTTTGTATCCATTCTTAAAATATTATTAACAAACTGTAGATTGTGTATCTTATAAGAGCTGTGGTTTAAATTGACTTCAGGAATTGTAAGTAGCTGACTGTCTTCTAATTCCCTGTTTTTGCTACAGTGCAAACTATCAAGCTATATTTAACATTGCAGTACCGGGTAGTTCTTTCTTACACAGTATAGCTGATTTAGTTTATTAGCTACTGTACCTGTATTTGTATTATACAGTTAAGTTCTGAAATACATCCCAGTAATACACAAGTGTGTCTAAATAGACTGAACACACTTTCAGTGTATTAACATTTTCACTATTGTATAGTTATTATTTCCTGGTAAACTTGAGCTGTTTTAAAGTATATTAAATATTTTAGGGAATATCACAACCAACTAATAATTATTTTGCAGGGTTCCCGTATTGAGGATCAACGCAGTTCCCTTCCAAATGAAGCTTCCCTTACTCAGTCAGCTCCTACTGTGCCTGATGATGATTTCTTCTCTCTAATAATGCGATTTCAGTCTGGTCGTTTAGAAGATCAGCGCTCTACCATGCCCCTGGAGGCCACTCGAAATAGTGCACACCCAACTGCTGATGAAGAAGAACCACCCAATAGTGCACAGTCTACAGGGGCAAAAGATGGACTAGTTAGTAGATTGGTGAAAGGAAGAAAATAAAAGAGATAAGTAGCTTGAAGTAACATATAGTAAAATGTTTCTTCCATGTTATGGGCTGAGATTCATTTATAATGGTGCATATCTGTGTATGGTGGGTTTCATTAAGAGTTCATGCTATTTCTAGCTCATCCAATTTTATACTTAATTTTTACCCCATTGGACTATATACAGGATATGCTGTATGCATTACAAAAATATTTAAGCCTTCTTATGGTTAATATCAGATATAAAAAAATCTTAGGCTTAGATAGATCATGTATGAGGAGCTCCAGACCAAAATGTTAAGTGCCAATGCAGAAAATGGAGGAAAATGCTCAGGTAGGAATTTGTGACATACAATAGTCTTTTCAGAGGACTGTCACCCACATGTACATGTTCTCAATTGGCTCTCTGACTTACCCAGGAAACAGAGGAGAGATTGAGGAATACAATGCAATACATAACATGTTTCAGCGTTATATGGCTTTTAGCAGGTTATGGTCCAGAGCTCCTCATATTTGACTTGTCATTATACATGTAACAAACCTATAATATGGCATATAACCCAGTTAAGCAATAATGAATATTTATTTTGTGAAAAATAATTAAATTTATTTTTATTTTTTTTATTGGGATGTTATGTGATATATATATAGGGCTTAAAATTCAGAATGATACATATGGAGTACATTGAATTCTTAGCCCTCAGAGGTGCACATGACAATCCCTTGTAGTATATGAGCACCAAACATAATTTCAGGGCTCCCAAGTTTGTGAACTTGTAGTTGTATATACAGTATATAAGAGTCATGCTACTTTAGCAGAAAACATAATTTTTATTTCACTGTAACCGTAAGGTTCAACTTGCTATTTTATAAGTCATTACAATTGACATTTAAGAAATATGAAATTGCAACATGAATAGATTTTCTCAAAATTTAGGGGAACTGTAAGAAAGTGTTATGTATACTATAAGTGTAAATTGTGTATAAACTGGCGGGTACTCTCAGTGTGAATGTATGAGTTTGAGCCAGGGTGTAAGACTGGATATATTGAAATATTGTTGGTTGCATAATGGCTTTGACCATTTCCAAAGGTTTCCAGATAATAATGGTTATTAAAGGCAAAATAAGGAGCAGTAATCTCCAGTCACTGTGGTTTGTCAGTGATGAAGTACTGAGAATTGTGTTCTCCTGTAGCATATCATATTTATATATCTGTGCTCTTCCATTGTACATGTGTGCATGCCACCTTAAAGTCTCTGTGTGTATTCTATAATTCTGTGATGAGCATCTCTTGTGAATATATTGTACTCTTGCCAACCATGTGCAAGTTAGCACTTTGTGACCTGATTTACTTCATTCTTATATACCTGCTCATTAGTGGCACTTTTATATGTCTGTGTGCTCACTAGTGGCACCTTTCAAGTTTATTTTGTACTCTGGATAAACAAGATGATATAATATGAAGCCTCTTGACTGGTGTCAGTGCTGTATTCAATAGGCTATTAAGTTAACCTGTTGTAAAAAGAAATTTGCAAATGATAAATTGTGTTTCTGTATGTACAGTACTTAATCACATTTATTCTGTTGTGAAAGTTAATGCTAAAAATTAGGTATGATCAAGTGTGAATGCAGTCGCTAATCTGTTACTGTATTTATGGGACTCCATATTAGTGCTCAGAAACGAGTGCTGGGTGTGAAGTTTATTAATTCCAGATGTCTTTGGTATTGGTCAGGGAACTCAGAAGTTTATTTCCCCTAAGTAATGTACAGTCCCCTTCACTAATGCATTTACAGGGGGTCGTTAGGTTTTGTGCAATGTGGCAGCCCTGTGTTTGTTTACATTCAACAGAAAGAAACTTGCAATAGTAAACATATTAAAACAAATATCTCAGAGATAATGATTTGTGGAATGTTTATATGACGAGCCCTTGTAAATGCACTAGTGAAGGGGGCAGTACATACAGTAATATACTTCGTTTAAAATTACCATAGTATTTAACCTAACAAGCAAAAGTACCCAAAAAGTCAACATATGACAACATCTTTCATAATTAATACAGTTTCAATATTCAGCAAGTTTGTGTAATATGTTATATGCAGTTATTAACAAGGTTTACTAAATGATAGGCATTTTCCTCTAAAGTTGTGTGTGGAAAATGTTTGTCCATTTCTCAGTCAGCTGTTAGACAATACAGATATCCCTCGTTTAGCACTAATTCACTTAACGTTAATACAGTTAAGCGATAAAAAAATTTACACCTTTTCTCACTTCACATCAGTTGAAAATTTGGTTTAGTAATAGCTTGACTCACTGGAAATGGGAAAAAACTGGGGACGAGGTGGCCTGTGAGATGGAATGTTGCCATTGTTACATGTTATGGCTTAGAAATAACGAAAATGTAAAACTATAAAATAAGGCAAATGAAAAGCATGGGTGTGTATGTGTGGGAAGTGAATACATGTATGACCTCCTGGAGGCAGTGGGGTGTAACTGCAGTGCTGACTCGCCACCCTCCTGCACTCCATCCCCCAATGTGACGTCACGGCGCACGCACACACACACACACACACACACGTCTTAAGAGTCAGCTGGGTTACTGCCCAGCCGAGCTGTGTTACATTGCCCAGAGGATGGTGTTATTGTATTTATGATGTGCTATGTTTGCATTTTATTGTTTATCATAGCAATTTTGTTCATTTTTGACATAAGCAATTTGAAATTTGTTGAAAGTAGGCTCACCTTTCCCCACTAAATCATTTAACTCTGAACCACATTGCTTATATAGAAGTTTCATGTTAATAAATCAATCTTTTAAATTCGAAACTGTTTATAACAAACTCATTTATTATTATTAGTAGTAGTAGTAGGAAAGCTGTACTCATTGTTTACTGCCCTGCTGTTTGAACCTGTTGTTCACCCTCCGTGCTTTGTTGTTATTCCTCGTTTAGTGATATTTTAGCTTAACATTAGGGTTTTCAGGAACACAACCCCATTGTTAAACAAGGGATATCTGTATTTCTCATGTGATGGGATCAGAGCTATAGAGCAATGGCATTTCCATTCGGGAAACTAAAAGAAAATTACAGTATACAACAGTTAACTATACAGTCGATACTCAATCAAATGGAAGAAAATTAATCATAATAATATTTTCTTGTACTGTACCTGTATAGATGTGTGTAATACTGTAATGTATACACACACACACACACACTTGAAAAAATTCTTAGTTATGCAGTACTGAGATACACATTGAAAACACTTCAAGGCTAACAATTTCCCAAGTATAAAAACTAATTTCGTTGCTTTTAAACTTACCAATGGAAAATCTTAAAAAAATAATCTCAAATCCTAGGATGGGAAACAAAGGGTTGGATGTACAATACTTTAAAATCCTTGGACTGTCCATTAACCACTCGTGTATGGGATCCTCTCTGTGCTGAAAAAAATTGTTTGGCTTTTGCCAAATATAAAATTAAAGGTGATGTCCCCATTGTGAAGGGGTTAAAAAGTTTTTGCATCATTATAGTGATATTCTTATACATTATATATATTTTCTCATTTACAGCCATGTATATCAGAAGCAAATAATGTGATTATCTATAAATGTGCATTTTAATTTCGTCACAGGTTTTAACTTACTATAAAAAATATATGGAAATTTTGCATTCATCCCATGTATTTGTTTATTAAAAATGATATCACTAAACCTCATGATAAAAATCTGTTACATTAAACTACATTTTTGTAAGAAAATCACCATTTTTTTTTTATGCTGTTAAATTCTGGAATAGTGTAATGCATAGTACTGTATATTGTCATAGACCTTCTGAACATGCAATGTATGCAATTCATACTTTGATCATGGAAAAACATGTTGTAGTAGAAAGATTTATTCTGGAAAGTTTTTCCATTGAAGGGATATGGAAAAATGGTGTTAATGAAGGTTTTATCAATGATATTGAGTGGATTAGTAGTTGTGGTTGAATGAATTGCTGTCAAATGTTGGAGTCATAGATAAAAATAACATCATAATTCTCCACGCCTTTTGGAATTGTGCTGTCGTATGGGATAAGGCATGTAGCCTCTATAGTGGAGCTTAATTAAAAGTGAAGGGCAATGATGGAAAGTGTCATTACAGCAAGTTCCCGATATAATGGACTAATGTGGGGTGGGTGGGAGGCTGGTCTGATAAAGCTGAATGTCGTTATATCTGGAATAATAATGAACTTGGTCCATTATATACCAACATAGTCCGAAGTGACCACGTGGGTCACTTTTCACCACCAACACTAGCCATCCCCACCAATGTTCAATTAAATAAAGCTTGAAATAGTGACGTCATGAATGCTGGAAGGCCCTAGCAAGATCGCGAGCGACCTGCCTCACATAAGGTAATGTACAAACTGGACACAGTATAAGTGTTTTATTTAGTTTAGCAATTTGTTATGTACTATAATACAATACTTTGTGTTTCATGAACAGAATTAACTTTCTTAGGGCATAATAGTATGGTTTTTGTTGTTCATGAACCTATTTCATTATTTTTGGGCATAATATCAGGTTTTCTTGTCATTTGGGAACCTAACCATATTTTTCCCATTCAATAGTACGCTATTAACTATCTGAAAATTCAATATCCGAAAGGTTTTCAAGGATCCCCATTCGCACCGCTCGGGATACTTGTACAGCAAACCCTCAATTAATGCAATAGATACCGTAATTTTTTTAGAAACTGCATTATTATTAAATTTTCAGAAATCAACTACTGGTAATAAAGAGCTTGTATTCCATTAACTCAAAATCATACTGGCAATACTGTATTGTGCTACCCACAAAATCTCACTTTTCACGGGGGGAGGGGGGGTTCAGCGCTACACATTACTGTACTGTAAATGTTAAGTCTGATGCTATATGTGCTCACACACAAACTGGCTTGTAATAGGTAGTGCCTTTTACTCATGGAGTGTACAGGTTATCCAAATGTGTTAATTTTCTTAACAACCATTCAGTTTTAAAATTTTCGTATAATGAATAATATAATAAACCAACAAAAAAAATTTTATTTTATATTTACAGTATATTTTGCAGCAAAGTTTATTATGTTTTAGTTTATTTTTGTACTTTACACAGTTCATGTAACATTATTAGAGGTGTTATACATAAAAAAAAAAAAAAGATAAACTAAATACTGTACATAATCCTACATTGCTCTTTTCCCCCTGTTCATGATTGTTTACTTGATTATCTCAAGCTTAGTTTCAATTACCACAGGATTGCGTGGTCTGCCACTGTGTACAGATTCACAAAAAGATGGTATGAATGCAGACACGTTAAGAGAGAGCTCTTCACTTGCACCAAACAGAGGATAAGTGGAGCATGAATGAATGCAGGAGGGAGGAATAATGATGTCATGTGCCATGAGCAAGAGTAAGTTCCTGTATATAGGGGGGGAGCAAACTGCTCTCCCCTCCCCCAGCTGACTCACAGATCGTGCCATTTGTTAGAACTTGTTTGACACTGGTATTTTTATTTTTTTAATTTTTTAGAGGATGAATCTTTTCATAATTTATTGACATCATTTTTATAATTCATAGTGCCCCAAATGGATATAAAACAGTCACAACAATGTATTTAAAATTATTGGTTGAAAAGTTAACTCGGTATGGGTGTTGCATTAACAACAGCTTCTAAAAAAATTCAAGCCTCCAACTCGAGAACTAAAACCAAGTACAGTACAGTATTTGTGAAAATATCTGCACTTGTTTTTACTAATAGTTTACACTAATACTGTAAATAGTTTGTAAAAAGAATGAGGGCTCCAGCTAGTTTACATAACGGGAAGAGAGAGGTAAAGGGAGAAACCATGTAAAAAAAAAAGGGGGGGGGGAGTATTGAGTATATGTTAGGTCACCAAGTAATGCTGCACAGTGAATCCCAAATAAAAGAAAGGCAATATCTTTACTTCTACCAAGGCCATTCATAAGTTGAATAACAACATCAGCCATGTGTGTTTTAACTTGCAACTCTTTTCCATTCATTTTGTCTCAACTAAATACACTGAACCCTGAAAGGAGGACCATCTGTCTGAAAAAGCCGAATGTCCGCATCTTCCAGCGAATGTACAAAATGTATAAAAACAGTAAATAATTATATAAAAACAAACAAAAATACAATAGTTGCACTTACTCTATGCAGTGGATAGATGAGTTTGTGTTGCCGTGATTGTATAGTGGGTACTCAGAACAACTGTCGTTCTGAGTCAGAGGAGCAGGGATGCCCCTTGGTTTGGCTTGGCTGGGAGGCAGGAGGGGAACCAGTAACAGGTTTGACGGAGGAGTCCATCTTAAGTTGCTCCCATGCATTGTGCTGCTCCCTGATAATAAGTTCTCTAAGAGTCCGAAGGTGTTCGTAATAGTCTTGTATTTGAGGACTGGATGTGCTGTCAATATAAGTTAAGATGGTGTCGAGCGACTCTCGTACAACAGACAACTTAACCCTAGGAATCTTCACAGGCAACTCATCTTCGTCACTGCTCTTCGTGTTGTCCTCTTTATCACCAGCGCGAACAGCATCAGCACTTTCCTCAGCTGAAAGCATCTGGTAACCTGGATCATCCTCTTTCTTTTCCAACCACGTCTCCACATCCTCCATCGTCATATTATTTTCTCCACCACGGTGTAATACACGATGAAAATCCCTCAAAGTCAAGTTCAGGCTCAGTACCAAGCTGAAGTTTCTTCCAACTGTAAGCTTAAGTGGATATCGTGACGTTCTTCCATGAAGCAGCAAAGTTGAATATGGCTGATTTCAAATTGTATTTCTTGATGTTGAAAATGCGGCTTCAGGAATTCTTCCGCTCGCATGGACCTCCGGAACCCCCAAATTTTGTCCAAATATTCCAAAATCAGGATTTTCCAGGTCCGGATCTTCGAGGGATTGCTGTAATAGGATTTAGTACATAAAATAAAACTGCAACTGGCATTTAGATAAATATACAATACAGTACAGTGAGTTCTGCTATAACGCGTGTTTAGATAACGCGAATTTGCTCTAACGCGATTTATGAATTAGGAACGATATTTGTATAACGCGAACGCTTGTTTGCTATAACGCGATTTTTGCTTACTATTTCTCCAATTTTGTGGTACAGTGGGGTATGCTATAACGAATCTAATTGGTTCTAGAACCTTGTTCCTTATAGCATTCGTTCGTTATAGGATTAATCCGTTCCAGGCCCCAAATACAACCACTTAACACTGAAAAATATAATATAAAATTGTAAAAATTGTAAAAAAGTGCATAAATATGCATCTAAACCCCTGAAATAAAGAATATCATTAATATTTGTAATAAAAAAACAATAAATTAGAAAAAAATAAATAAATAATGTTCGTTGTAGGAGTTTCATGAGTTATAGCATTCTCAATTTTATAGGTAAAACCGTTCGTTATAGGAATATTCGTAGTAGGATCCGTTCGTTATAGCATACCCCACTGTAGTAACTGTGAATATAGTAAAGAAGAATATCAACTAGGAGCGTTCTGGTGATAGAATTCCCGGTGATGATCGTAAAAGAAAGGATATAACACTTGAAGAGAAGCTCGATTTTATCAACCTCAAAATCACCCTTCTCCCCCATCAAGTAAAGTGTTACATTTACTGTATGATTTCATTATTAGATATGAATGTAACATTTATTTAGACTGTGCTATCCTTTGTGTTAGGCTAACTACTAAATTTTTTCGATTTTGAGTAATCTGCACCTAACCCTATTTTCTCCATAAGCCCTGTTATTTCTATTACGCGATTTTCTATAACACGATATTTTACAAGAACACAATTATCACGTTATAGCAGAACTACCTGTACTGTCCCGAACTTTACTGAACATAAATGTTCAAAACTCAGTTAGCACATGTATAGCAGTATTGCATTGGATCTGATGGAATAAGTTAAGGATAAGATTTTAATAAAGTACTGTATAGCATAAATAATTACTGTATACTACACTAGTAATCTAAAAAAAAAAATAGAAGACAAGGGTAGATGAAGTACAGATGTATCTCAACTTGTGAGACTTAAATGTGATTCCAGGATAAAGCAATGTATGCTCTTCACTCTAGAAAGCATTAAATAGATTACCCTATGACATCAAAGCCACTAGAAGAGGTAGGAAGTGACACGAAAAGATAATATTAATTTGGAAGAGGATACTACAGGGATATTTATCCAATGTAAAAGACTATATACCTGTACAAACACTATATCTTAATTAATTTCATAGCTGCATGTCAGTGGAGATAGAATGCTGTAGTGCAAATAGCATACGAATATATATACGTATTATTTTGAGACCAAAATATGGGAAAATAACAACAATTCATTAATACTTACAGATAAAAGTATAGCTTCTCATGTGTTGATCACTGCCTTTAAAAAATTACTTTGTATTGTTGCAAGTCAACTTTGACTGCCTCTTATATTATGAAGAGTAGTTAAAGGCTTTGGGAGGACAGTCACAAGATTCTGGAAAAAAAAAAGACCTAAAATTTGCAATGATTTTAAAAATTAAATGATAAGAGTACAAGTACTGTATAAGTTTACATATACGTATAGTACCATAGTTAGCACAAAATAAACGATCAAGGTTTTAAAACAAATTTCACTAAAACTGTCTCATGCTACCTATTGCAAAGGATGACCAGGGTATAGTATGTATATAAACTGTATATACAGTATACCTGTATTAAACAACATACAGAAAAACATGGAGATTAATTGAAGTATGCATAAGAAATATACTGTACTGTGGTCCCAGATCAATTTTGAGGTTAGGTACAGAGAAAGAGTCGAGACAGTTTGATTCATAATGGATCGAAGTTTTCTTCCTGATGGAAATCAGTTGAAGGAGGACTTAAAATTTTTGGTATACCCTTTAAATTTACATTTTAAATATTTATATATAGTATAGGTTTTACTTGACAGTAAACCTTTATACAGAATACAAATAGTATGTAGAATATTCCCTTTGAAGTGTAATGACTGAATATATTAAGAGCTTGGCTACATGCATGTTGCTCTCACCATCCTTGCTCAGGTGAACCAATACCTTCACAATTGCTAGCAACATTTCTTGTTTTATCCATAATAAATATTATATTTTTATATGAACATATAAAAATACAACATTAATTATGGACCACCGAGCATATTGCAATATCCATTGTCCATTTTCATATTGTTTCATAGTGTGGAAAGATACTTTTTGTTTACCATGTGTACCAGATACTGCTCATATTCATTACATAAGGATGCTGCTCAGAATCAGGACCATTACAAGTATACACTCTGTAAACAATTATTGTTCAGTACTGTCTAGGCTATGATTTTCGACAAATAGAAGAATATGTAAAATATCAAAGGATATCTAGATTAACTCCTCCAGAGTTTCCATACTTACCAATATTTCCTGCTACAAAATTGCTTATAATATTTCATAATTTCCAGATCTGTTCTGTATTGTAACAAATTAGGGAGCTTATTTAACCAAATGAATTGAGAAATAAAATACTTTATATGTAGTGGTCCTGTAAGAGGGATGTTATTTATGCATTTGCATCAACATAGAGAGGCCAGGGAGACCCAGTAAGACATCAATTAATTGTAATGTAACTTGTTTCTTCTATGCATTCTACTTTAGGGAGGCACAGTACAGTACACAGAATTGCTCAGTACAGTATAGGTAAGGAAATATAGCTGTGATTGATGATATAAACAACAGGGTCATAAATGTAGGGGCATATTTGTCGTGAGGAGAAACACTTCTTACAGAAATGGGAAACTGCCGTCTTTGAATGCTGGAGGTGCATACGTCTGGTTCCAACACCTACGATAGTCATAAGTCAAACATTTGAATATTATATTCACACCACCAACCTCATTGGAATATTATGTAGAATCTTACATTAACAATATTAAATCTAAAAATAACCTCATATGGGACTCTTCATCAACCAGTTCAAGGAGTTTGAAGAACACAATTCTTGTACAGTACATATACAGTACAGTAATTCAAAGTTATGTACTGTATTGTACTGTACTCTACTGCACTGTACTGTATTGTATCAAATATGCTCTGACAATCAAATAGGATGTGAATTAACTGAAAGTTAGGGTATCAAGAAGTTTAGTGACAATCACTTCTTGGGGGAAGAGTACCTATGTATTTAAAAAATTCTGAGAAAATTACAGTAACTCTCCAATTTTTTCCCCAGGTCTGGGAGCAAATTCCGAGGATAAAATATAGTAATGCATCATTGTGGAAAATTCCGAGAGTTTTTAAAACTCCAATTTTTGGGGGTGAGAGAAGCAAATTCCAAGGATGAAATAATGTGCAATTCCCAGAGTTTTTCCAAAAAACTTTTACCAGTACTGTACCTGGAAAAATTCTGGGAATGGGGGATTTTTACCTGGATTGAGAAAGTCATTTCATTACCTGGAAATCTCTCATTCCTGAAGTGCTCTGCACCAACTGTTCCAGTTAATGGGGATATCACTTACTGTACTTCACATTTTGTAATTACTATTAACACCTTAGAGTAATAGAGGCAGAGCAATAAAAATATCTATTCATTTCTTTACTACAAAACAAATACAGTACACCTGTTAGTGGGATTAATGTAATACTAGTGTCAAATGCATGTGTTTTACTACAGTTAGTTTGTGGTAAAGAAGGAGTCAATCTCATACAGTTGAGATCTAGATCTAAATGAAATATATATTAAAAGAATACAGTATAAGGTCGCTTGGTTTACCCTGCCATTGGTTGGCATCATTTTGATTCTAAGGTACTATTTACTGTAAATAGCAATGTTTACTTAATCTTTGTTTTTGTACAGTTATATACTGTACAGTATATATAAAATAACTGCCAAATTTGGTCTCATCACAGCGGTCACCAGCTAGGCTATGCTGAAACACCATTATTAAACAACAATTTCACACTGATTGGCCTTCTCCATATACAGTACTGTAGTGGACAGTAAAATATGTTTCTAACCTTAGTTGATCATATATTATGTATTATAAAAGCATGGTGGTAATGATATTTTCAGTACAGTACAGTATACAGTAGTACAGTATTAAGAGTTGCACACATTGGATATATTCATATGCAACTACTGTATTCTTAAGTGTTCATAATGTAATATAAACTTGTGATTATTGTAGAAAACAATCCTTTATAAAGCTAAAGTTAAATCTTTTTATTTAAATTGTGAATGAAATGAAGATTTATTTATTTTTTTTTTTTTATGAAAGGAGATATTATGTGACTGACAGAGGAAAACTCCTGCAAAAATGGAATTGTGTTCACTTGGCTTCTGTGTATTACTGATTTCACATAACTTTTTAACTGAACATCACCTAAAATTTTCCCCAAATTAACTGAATTAAAATACTGTACAGTACTTAAAGTTGAGTGAGAGTAAAGTCCCACGTCCAACCACTATTTGCCAAAACTGCAATTCTTGTAGTTCAGTACAGTACAGTATTACCTAAAAAGGGATGCTTGAACACATTAGGTCCTGCTGTTCACATATTGGCTTCTTTGATGTACATGTATCATGTACAGTACTACTAGTTATGCCTTGTACTGGTATACAGTATAAATGTCTCAATAAATATTTCACATCACATTCAAAATTAAATGACCAGTATGGAATCAATGTTTCCATGCAAATACAGTATGCCAGTCATAAATAATTAATGAAAATTATGTATCAGTATTTGTACATACAATGTTTGTTGTAAGTTTGTAGTGAACATTTTGTGCTAAGTAATCTAAATGATGGAGAACCTCATCTGTGCCAGACCGGATGCCTACTGTACATTGTGATAAGAATTACAGTACAGTACTGTACTTCTAATAATCCATGATCTATTGTACTATTATCTAACATATTTTTTTATTTCTATGAATACATTAAAACCCTCATGTGTCACATTTTAGGCGTATTCTTGGTTCCCCTAAAATGCATAACTCATTATGCTCCTAGGCTCTGCCTACTGATGACCACCAAGAACACGCCGACAGCGCTGCTAGCAGGGTTTCCGCTGCTGGCCAGCCCAAATTATCGTACACCGATGTAAAAATTATGGTATTTTCCTCGAAATTATAATGGTACCTGTATATAAGAATGTATGTTATGGTGCAGTAAACACCCCTACATTAATACAAACAGATTAACATAAGTCTAATAAAAAATTACAAGCAGGAACATATAAGAGGCTGAAATAAAGGGAATATTTGTTAAAACTCTTTATTTGCTACTGTTACTGCATCCACTTATCGTCCAATCTTTGTCCATAAATAAATAAGGGTAACATAAGTTAAACTCAAACAGAGAGAGATAATGGTACTGGTAAATTCATCACTGCAACTTGCAGGCTTTCTTACTTCACGGGTGTGGAAATACAATCGAGTCCCTATCTGATCAAAATTATGGTACAAATACCATAATTATGGTATGCAGCGCAACTCTGGCTGTCGGACTCTTTCTGGAGCCGCCACTAACCAGCGTCCATGTTTCGGCTACGTCCGGTTTCGTGAATTTGTTTTTAAATGTGTCTCCATATTAAAAAGATTATCATAGCTACACAGCAATATACTGTACTCAATATTGTGTACTTTTCTAAAAAAAATTATCACATCTATTATGAATAACAATGTCTTTTATGACATTATATCAAAGAAATAATAGTTATAAGCTTCAAGTCAGAAACAAGAGAGAGACCAATCAGACACGTGCAGTGAAGCCCATAGAGTTTTCAGGTGTCGCTGGAAATCTCTCCATTCCCAGTTCAATGCACGTAGGTATTGATTGTCATTTCATTTAAAGCCTCTCAAACTAAGCAATTTTATACACAAAATATATTTTTTCAAGTAATATACATCTACTATCCCGAGTGTAATTTGTGATTTTATTGAAAAAAATTTTCGTGCATAGACATCATCTTGTTTAGAGTGTATGGACCGACGAATGTGATAGGATAGCTTCCCTTCATCTCCGCCCACTTTCCATATAAGGAAAGACCAAAACTAGTTTTGCTTTTGAGGGCATATCATCTTTGAAGGAGTTTTGCTTTTGAGGGCATATCATCTTGAAGTAGTTTTGCCTCCAAGGCAAAACTTTGGGATGTGCAGTAGATAGCATGACTAGTTATGCTTTTTGGGTGACCAAGAATATGCCTTTAATGTAGCTAAGCAGTTCAGCCAACAATCACTTTGTTTTTCTTATACATACAGTACTCCATCAAATTTTTTACAAACTTATTAACATTCCAACAGATAATCTTGATGTATACTTTTATATTTTACTTGAAAACAGTAATTTTGTAGTCATGTACAGTGTATCGGGTAATTCAGCCATCTACTGCAATAGATTGGGATACCTGTACTTGAATTTTTTTTTTCATGAATCATTGTTTTAGTGCCATTTTTTTTTTTACAAATTGGCATCAGGTAATATTTTAATGATGCCTACATTCACTACAATGTGAGGCATTACTCAGTCAGTGCTGATGACCTAAACAGGATTACATGTACTATATACCACTTAGACGATTTCCCAATACTGAAGATGGTTGACAATTTAACTGAACCTAACTAATCATCTAAGTGGGATGGCAAATAATCACCTAAAACAGATGACTCTCCAGATGGGAATCATCCATGTGATATGAAACCCAAAACAGGAAGTATCAGTTCTGAAAAAGATAAAGTTACCATTGAAATAAAAGTATTAAATTTAAAGTGACTTATTGTCTTCCACTTCCTATTGGTGTTCACTCTAATTCCTGTATAAGTTGGACCGGGTATCTAGTTTTCCTATCTGAGCTTCCTGGAAACAAATTATTTGAACAAAGAGCAATGTAAATATACTGTATTTCCATGCAAAATCCAACTTTAATTCTCAACAATACTTACAGGTATTTCATCCCCATGTACACCTAAGCTGTTTTCTATATACAATAATTTCTTTTACAATGTATTGTACAGTCTACTGCCAGGTATCTATAATTTTAAATCATTTTTATTGACAAATTGTCTGGAATATTAGCTACAGTCTTTTGTATCACTTGTAGATTTTGTACATGATATATTATATCTTGAGACCATCTCATCTCTACAGTTATAGCCAACCCCACTCATAGTAGTATGCTTATGACCAATTAATATATACTAATTCCAATAAATTGTGCCAAATCTCCATTCCTATTTATGTTACTTACAAACTATGTGAACAAATTGATAGATACAAGTACTATACAGTACTGTACAGTATCAGTATATTTATGGTATATAAAATCTCAAGTGTTACAAAACACTAACCCTGCACTTCAAAGCCACTGCAAATGCAGTACACCATACTGACAAATAATGTAGTCATGGGGGAACTAGAAATAACAGATTTAAGTATAAACCTACAGTTATATTTCAGAAAATGCTTTTATATTCTATAGCATCAAATTGTTACATTCACGGCTTTAATGATTTTGGTTAGTTCATACATATATACCCTGTATAAATAAATCTGATACCGTACAGTATCATCCTCCCAAATTATAAACTAAAAGTTAAACAAATGGTACCATGTCAACCAAAATTAGAAAAATTTAAAAATTTAGATGCTTCATACCGTTCAGTACAGTACTGTATTTAACATTTCCAGCCTATTCAGTACAGGATTTCTGTTTGGTTCAACAGATCCTTTCTTGTAACCTACAATATTCATTATAGACAGTAACTTTATGTACTCAGTATGTATATTGATTATACATTTGCCAGAATGATTGTCTAAGGCTGCAATATCCTTTTTTCTTTTCTTTTTTAATAACCTCCTACCAGGAGTCCATAACAAGCCTTCTGCAGTTTTAAGCAACTTTACTGAGGGCCTGTATTTAGCCGTCCTGCTTCAGGGAGGCTGGAAAGTTTCTACAATCATTTTAGGACTTTTCATCGGACTCTGAAATTTGGGGAGGCAATAAAATCCTAAACTAAGGTTAATCTTTACAATGCAGCAGCATTGATTTTGTAAGGCTTGGTAACTGTAGTGCACAGATTAGTATCTTCTAGGCATCAAAGCTTCATCTGACTAGATGACCCAGTGCAAAAAAACTGTCACCTACAGTTGCTTTAATCTGCAGGGGATTTGCAAAGTGCTTGATGTTCATGTTTACAATCAATTAAAAAAGTTACATCCACAGTATTAATATTTATTCCATTGCTTTGGTCATGCACTCTACTGTATTCTTTGCCACCCTTGGTGTGACTTAAATATGCCTAAGAATTGTAAAGAACACATTATGGATGTCTGTGATTGTTGTTCACAATTCTGCTGGCAAGCCAAAGGAAAATGTCACAGCTGACAAGGGAAATATAGTTAGTTATTTGCAGAAGATATAGTACTGTTCATACAATGCTCTGGATATGTAACTTTTTCAAAATGTTCTGTAAACATGAACCTTATGGGACTTTGTAAACATCCTGTACAGTATTCTGTATCCTGCATCAAACTCAATACTGTAAATCTGTTTTTGTTAAAAATTTTCGTGGGTCATAATTCTTCCATGGACACTCACTGTACAGTATTGCACTGTCAATACTACTACTATTTTTACTACTAATGGTGAAGTGATTTATTGCCAACCCGAAAGCACCATAGAAATGCTTTGCCAAATATGCATAACTTAATGAAAAACAAATTTCATGTCGTTATAGTACTACTGTATGATAAAATGTCAATTCAAGTTTAAAATCCACTTATTACAGATCAGTTTCATGTTCACTGATACCATTCTCAATGTAATCTAGGCTGGGTTGAAATAAGCTAAAAATCTTTGATTGTAAGTGATCCTTACATATGGTAGAATATATTAAATATACAAATGGTGTTAAGAAATACTCAACAAGATGTAGGCAATTATCATACTGATTGGGTATAATCTAACAGTTTTGTTTACTTGGCAGAATATATTAATATATAGTATTGTGAATAAAAAATAAATATACAGTCAACCCTCGCTTTACACGGTCCCACATTCCGCGTTTCCACGTTTACGCGGTACCCTGCCGAAACCGGAATGCTCACGTTCCGCGGTGCGTGTACCCCTTTACGCGGAGAGCGGCGCGAGCAGGGTGCGCACAAGGTCGCCCAGTCATCAAAACATTACCGAGTTCTCCACCCACCACAGCCGGCCCAAGTGAGTGATAGTGATAATTATAGTGAGGATATGGACTTATATGGACTTTGAGGGGTTTGACAAAGAGGCCCTGCAAGCCTTTGTGGTGGATAGTGATACAATTGATACAAGTGATACAGGTGAGGGCCAATAATCTGCCCTCTGCCTCGGAACCAACCCCCCATCCCCGTATGCCCAGCCATCTTTTCTACTAATGTAAGTGTTAAAAAACCTAATATTATTGATATTTCTCTTAATTATTAATTGTGTGTGCATACCATCATAAAATTAAGAAGTTATTTTTACTACAACGTAGGTATTGTGTCTGAAAAAGGTTTGGGGGTCGGCCCAGTCTCTATTTCAATTAATCCCATATGTTATGTTGTTCACTTTATGCGGGCCACCGTGGGTTGAATTAACCGCGTAAAGTGAGGGTTCACTGTACTGTACTAAAAAGTATAGTAAACAAGCTGTTCTTGTGTACTTCTAAACTGTGAAGCAAATGGAATAATGTCCACGAAATTTAAGCAGTTGTATGGGTTCCCAAACTATGTGACCTATTTATACTCAGCTGTTCTGGCGCTAAATAAATGTGTTTCATTTTAAGCCTTCGCATTTGATAAATCTAGAGTATTATTCATATACAGTATTTAAGTCAAGGTACCAAATTTCTGATCTATGTTAAGTGATCTGTAAGTTTGATTTGCTTACTCAAACAACATACTGTACAACATACGAGTACCGTACAGTATAGTATATATAGCTCTATCTTTTTTTATGAATTCATTTTCAAAGATAGAGATCACTCCACCTTTCCAAGTAAACCTTCCATTAGATCTTTATCTAGATATCAACTGTGAAGATGAATTACCAAAAAAGGTATGAAATATTTTGTAGAATATAATGCTGCAATATTTACTTTTGCATTTAATGTATACAACAAAATAAATTTATGAACCTAAATGTATATTTTTCTTCACAAACACCACAAAATCACTACACTACAGGCACTCCTCGGGTTACATAACAAACAGTTTACGCACTTCTCAGTCGAGTGCCCTTTCCTGGAGCTGGCTGATGCTCGCCCCACAAGGAGTCACAGCTCAAGGTTAAAGAAGCTGCAAGCTCAGAAAACTATGAGGGGTAACTTTCTCGGAATGAGAGTTGTGAACTCTTGGAACAATCTGCCAGAGTGTTGTGACGGCACCGAGTGAGATCTCTTTCAAAACCAGACTTGACAAGCACTGGAGCAGGTTCAGATACATTCAGGAGCCAGCTGCCCAGTATTTGCCAACAGTGGTACTCAAACTATCCAACCAGGAGCGAACTCATAACAATGGTTTTAAATTAGACAAATTTAGATTTAGGCACGAAATAGGTAAACATTGGTTTGGAAATAGAGTAGTGGGTGAATGGAACGAGTTACCAAACATCATCATTCACTCGAATATGCTCGATAGCGTCAAACATAGGTTGGATGGATATATGAGCAATAGGGGTTGGGTGTAAATGGGACTGGCTAGTATGGCCAATAGGCCCACTGCAGTTTCCTCCATTCATATGTTCCTATGTTCTAACAGACGTGACCGATCGCCCAAGCGGCTAACGAGCCGATCAGTGGTGAAGAGGATAAAAGCAAAAGTAAATTCGACATTGAGAACAATCTGAGATGTGTACAGCCAGTACACGCCTAATGCTTGCCAGCAATGCATAACAGAGACGTGACAGACAATTAAAAGATGTTGCTGGAAGCGTTAATGTGTTTGTAACTTAAACGGTAAATATTTTTTTTCAAACTTTTTTATTACTCATACCTTGAAAGTCAATATTTTCTGGCAGTTATATCTTTACAGACATTAAAGTGGGCCTGAACTGAGTGTCCTTGACAGCTATTACCTTTGTGTGACCGTACTTGTTTTGTTTAGCCTTTAATTATGGTTTAAAGCTGGCTGGCTGTGTTGACATGCAGAGTCCGGAAGCGTCAATGTGGCTTCGTAACGCCATGTACATGTTTAACAAAACGATTAAGAGATCTTTGATATTGGTATTTATATTGAAACAATTTATTTAGCCTGAGAAATACAGATACAGAGTGGATACTAATAATAATACTGACATGACTGAGCCAACTCTCTCAGTCACATCTCTGAAATGGAGAAAATAGTGATACACACTTTTTTTTATTAAATTAGCATTGGTATGATGCACAATGTGAAATATCATCCTATAATGCATAAGACTCTGGAAAATATATCCATCTTTTATGATAAATGAGAAGAATATGGCGTTACGAAGCCATATTGACGCTTCCGGACTCTGCATGTCAACACAGCAGGAGGCAGATGTGTACAGCACCTCAGCCCCAGGTATGGATACTCCACTGAGTAGTACTTTCATTTTTATCCTTTTCGCCACTGATCGGCTCGTTAGCCGCTTTGGCGGTCAGTCACGTCACTGTTAGCAAGTACTGGGCATGAACAGGCTCCAGGATGTATCTGTACCTGCGCCAGTGTTGGTCAAGTCTGGTCTTGAAGAGCTCACACTCGATGCTGTCACAACACTCTCTGGCAGATTGATTCAAGGGTTTACAAATCTCATTCTGAAAAGGTTTGCCCTCACAGTTTTCTGGACTTATGCCCTCTTCAACCTATGACCCCTTGTGAGGGGTGCTAGACAAATCGTACCCATGAGAACATGTCAAGTCGTACCCAATTACAATTTAACTCATACCCAATTTACGAGACAGTTCGTACCCATATATATATATATATATATATATATATATATATATATATATATATATATATATATATATATATATATATATATATATATATATATATATATATATATCTACCAATTTATTTCCATTATCTACCAATATCAATCTATCAGTTTTATCTATATTTGTCAATCTATTTATCAATACAAGTATTGTACAGTAATTGTCAGTCTGTCAATCTATGAACTGTATGTCTATGCTTATGGCTTACCAATATCTGTCAATATCTATTTATTTTTAGATAATGTACTTAAAGATGATTTAAAACTTGCAGGCACAGCGTAATTGACTTTTTAAATATTCTAATTATCTTTAATTATTTCAAAGGTCATTAATTAACACTAATTACTTGAATTTTTAACTGTGGACCCAGATCCTTATTCATCATCTAAAGTACAGTGGTCCCTCGGTTAACGAGCGCTTCGGTTAACGAGCGCTTCGGTTAACGAGATTTCGGTTAACGATTTACCTTCTATAAGATTCTTAACTTCGGTTAACGAGCAATCCCTCGATTAACGAGTTTTTTACGAGCCCACTTCAACATGTTTTCGCTTGCATTTGGCGGTCCACCAGCTGTAGTATTAGTCCGCCAATACAGTAATCAGTTTTAGGGCTTAAATTCCTTACTATTTTAGTAAATATCAAGAAGTTTATACTATTCAATAATTTTAAGAGTTTAATATTAACTTTTTTATTCATTTTAACAATTATTGAACATAATTGAAGGTAAAAAAACTAGTTTCTGGCGTGCCATCCAGCCTGTTAACACACCAGACAGGCGTTAGTCTCTCTCTGTTTTCAGTGGAGGTAACATCTTGCTTGAAACTCTCTTCAACTAAAGGCTTTTTTTCTGTGTTTCCAAACAAATTATTGGTCATTTTGAAATATATTTTACATATTGACAATATATAATGCAGTGCAGTGTTGATTTAAAGAAAATAATCTTGAATTACACCAGGAGAGCTAAAATTTTATGGGTGAAATGGCACCATGGGGTGACTTCTCTTCCACCCCAATGCCTTCTCTTCTTCCTTCTCCTCCACCCCCATTCTAATTCCCATCATCATCATCCAGGAGCCTTCTACATACACACCTCAAAGTAAGTGTACTTTTCTACCTTTTTTGTTGAATTTAGGCAATTTTCGGTGAGCTGGAACCAATTACCCAAAAGCCCATTGAAACAATGGTTTCGGTTAACGAGTTTTCGGTTAACGAGCAACCTGCTGGAACGGATTGTGCTCGTTAACCGAGGGACCACTGTAGTACCTTTGTGTAGTTTTATATTATTTTTTCTTTATTGATAAGCCACATCTTTTCTATAGAGTGGAATAAGAGTTAAGGAAGTCTGTTTTTCTGAGACATGAATTTGTTAAGTCAGCCTGTAGCACTGTGCATTGTAGGATTTATTGGGGGATCCCAAGAGTGAGTTTCAACTACAGTAATGGGAAAACTTGTTAATCTGTCACCTCTCAATCCACGTAGGTGACGGATAACTGGGATTTTACAGTATATCTACCTGTCTAAACGACTGTATAAATGTACCACTAATTTAGCTGGGAATAATAAGGCAAAAATGACAGACTTTGTCAAGCATGCAAGGTTTACAGTCCCAAGAAAGTTCACATAAACCAAACTTGAGTAAAACAAACAACTACTGTACTGAATGACTATTAATTTATGGACATATTTTTATCATAAACTGTTGTGTATATTAAATGTTTTTTGTTTGTTTGTTTGTTCAAAGGAGGGCCACCAAGCTGGTGCCTGCACTTCGGCATCTCAGCTACCCTGCGAGATTGGGCGCCTGAACTTGCCTAGCTTATACTACAGACGGGCAAGGGGGGACCTAGTTGAGGTTTATAAGCATCTCAGGGGGCACTACTCAGTTGAGTGTCCTTACTTGGAGCTGGCGGACGCTCGCCCCACAAGGGGTCACAGCTCAAGATTGAAGAAGCCGCAAGTCCGGAAAACCGTGAGGGCAAACTTTTTCGGAGTGAGGGTTGTAAACTCTTGGAACAATCTACCAGAAAGTGTTGTGACGGCACCGAGTGTGAGCTCTTTCAAAGAAGACTTGACCAACACTGGAGCGGGTTCAGGTACATTCAGGAGCCGGTGCATGCCCAGTATTGCCAACAGTGCGTGACAGAGACGTGACCGATCGCCCGGGCGGCTAGCGAGCCGACCTTTTGGTGAAGAATATAAAGGAAAAGAGTCGTGACCGATCGCCCAAGCGGCTAACAAGCCGATCAGTGGCGAAGAAGGATAAAAGTAAAAAAGTAAAAGTACAGATGAGTTAAAGACCCTTGGGATGTTGAGCAGCACCATTACAATTGAAAATGATACCTGCAAACTTACAAACAGCTGCCATTGTAGAACTTAATTCCAATGAACGCTATAACACCACCACCACTCCCACAGCACCACCACATATGGCAAGGTAAACTAAAGGAGTCATTTGTCCATCTGTCTGTCTTCCATTTATATCTTTCTATCCACTTAACTGTTTATGTATGTTTGTTTCTCTGCCTTTCAGCATATCTATCAATACCTAACTCAGTCTGATTTATCTACTGTATATCTGTCAATCTATTTATCTAAACAAGTATTGGTAAATTTACATTTTCAACCAATATGGCTCTTGAGTTGAGCAATGTTATCATAACTGTTAATCTAATATGTTGAATAGCAGAACGATAGAAATAATGTAAGAAATTTAGTTAGGGAGTTATATATATTTTACATTTAATTTAGGTTATGTTTAGTTAAAGTAATATTTAATAGTTACCTGAAATAATAGTCTTGTGCGAGTCTACATGCCTTTGTCTGCGCACGCATCCAACCAGCTGCAGTTGAATGTCAAATTACCTGCCATCGTCAGTTCCTTAATGATCCTGACCAGAGAAACACAACCTTCAGTAAAAACTGGTGATCATGGAGGGGCTCACCAACTAAACCCACCATTAATTCCTGACCTCCATCCACATCAGCAAATCTTGAGTATCAATTTATGTTGTAGGATACCCTAACTTTATGCTTTGTACGTACGGTGATATCTCCGTTAGCCTGAACAATTCATGAAGAGCACTTATGGAAATGAGACATTTTTGGGTAACAAGACGACTCTCAAAGCCGGAAAAACATTCCTCATCCCCGGAATCTTCCGGAATTTTCTGGGTCAAGGAAAAATTTTATTGGAAGTTCCAGAAATTGCCCATTACATTATCTCATGAACCTGGAAAAATAACCCCCATCCCAGTAATTTTCCGGGTACCGGAAAATTTTTGTTGGAATTTCCGGAAAATGCGCCTGATTTTCATCTTTCAAGTCCAGAAAAAACTCCCCCATCCCCAGAATTTTCCAGGTATAAGGAAAAATTTCTTAGATTTTCCCGGAAAATGTGCCCCTTGGAAAATCATTCCCAAAGCCGGAATTTTCTGGAAAATTCCGTCTTTGGGAACGATTTTCCGAGAAAATTTCAATTACGCAATTGGAGAGTTCCGAGTTTGAGGGATTCTTGCTAACGGAGATATTACTGTAGTTTGACGTAATATAAACTCCGACATTTGCCACTTCAGGTAATCACCCATTTTGAGTGTTTATTTAATGCGTATAACGTGATATAAAATATTTCTTGTCCTGATATCAACCAATTCAGGACAAATGTGTTTTTACAATGGTTTAGACAATTTTTTTCAATGAATTTTCCCACATAAATAGCTTATATATATATATCAGGGGATCCAGGGGGGGGGGGGGTGGAGCTCCTGGTTAGGAGGTTAGGTTAGATAATTTTAGGTCATTTGCGAGGGAAACATTATAGAAGAAAAGTGTCTTAAAATTGTCTAAATCAGGGGTTTCAAGTAATTTCTAGTGCGATCACATCTAGTGCTGTCGCTTTTCCAGTGCGACCCTAAGTCATTTCATTAAATATAAAGATTCGTAGAATAAATACAGTGACCCCTCCTTTAGCGAACTCAATCCGTTCCAGAAGGTCGTTCGTTAACCGAAAAGTTCGTTAACTGAAACCATTGTTTCAATGGGTTTTTGGGTAATTGGTTCCAGCTCACCGAAAATTTCCTAAATTCAACAAAAATGGTAGAAAAGTTCACTTACTTTGAGGTGTGCATGTAGAAGGCTCCTAGATGATGATGATGATGATGGGATTTAGAATGGGGGTGGAGGAGAAGGAAGAAGAGAAGGCATTGGGGTGGAAGAGAAGTCATCCCATGGCACCATTTCACCCATAAAATTTTAGCTCTCTTGGTGTAATTGTCAATATGTAAAATATATTTCAAAATGACCAATAATTTGTTTGGAAACACAGAAAAAAAGCGTTTAGTTGAAGAGAGTCTCAAGCAAGATGTTACCTCCAGTGAAAACAGAGAGAGACTAACTCCTGTTTGCTGTGTTAAGAGGCTGGATGCCGCGCATTAAACTAGTCACTTTACCTTCAATTATGTTCAATAATTGTTAAAATGACTAAAAAATTTAATATTAAACTTTTAAAATTATTGAATAGTATAAACTTCTTGATATTTACTAAAATAGTAAGGAATTTAAGCCCTAGAACCGATTAATGTATTGGCGGACTGATACTACAGCTGGTTGCCCGGTCAGTGCAAGCGAAAACATGTTGAGGTCGGTCCGTAAGAACTTCGTTAACCGAATTGAAGATCCTTATGGAAGGCAGTTCGTTAATCGAAATTACATTAACCGAGGTGTTTGTTAAAAGAGGGGTCACTGTATGTAGATATTTTTACACGTACAGTACAGTATTTAACTGTAAAAACAAATCGATAAAATATATTACATAACTGAGAAGTGTAAAAGTAAATACTGGCAGTAACAGGTTACAACTCTGTCATGATTATATCATCATTTAGTGGTCTATACCTGAGGGTATAATTACAGTACTGTACATGGTTAGACAACATAACAGACAGTTTTCATAGTTACAACTCTCTCATAATTAATGTAACATGCGTGCATTATCATTTAATTAATCTTAATACATGTTACCCGGTACACCAGTCATAATTAATGTAACGTGTGCATTATCATTTAATTTATCTTAATACACTTTATCTCAAGGTATTCGTTAAAGGTTGTTAAATCTTCACACCAATTATGATTAACTCTGCATTTGTCCCTCAACTGTGAATGATTGTACCAAAGGAAAAATAAAAATAAGTATAAAAACAAAAATGTATTAACAATAATAAATTAAGAATAGTGGCAGCATATTAAGGAGACCATGCAAAATATGAATCATGGCTGTTAGAGGTGGGGCCTGGTGTCACTTGGCGACTCGGGCCAACTGGACTTCATGTACTCAGGGCTACACTGGAAGCCTCATCCATCATCGAGGGTGTGAGCACTACGTTGAAAAGTTGCTGTAGTGGGCTACTGGCACACACACATCCTAGCGAGGTAACAAGCTATACCAGCTAGCTAGATTGCTAGCAGCAGGTCACACAGGTCATCACACCACTTCACTGCAGCAGCTCTGCCACTCCTTACATAAAAAGAGAGTGGACAAGTGCCAGCGGCGAGGCAGCTCTCGGCTAATTGACGCTGCCTGCTTTGCCGGCCTCTCACAACAGCTCGTGTAAAATGTATACCTAGTTTCTAACTGAAGCAAGATGTGAAACAATACAGGGTAATTCATTCACACGTTACATATCATAATTCATGTAACATGTGTGCATTATCATTTAATAAATTTAATGTTAACTGGGGGTATAATTATGTGGTTAAACAATATACGTTACAACTGTGTACGTCATCATTTGATCAGTTTTCTTAACCTGGTGATATATGAGGTTAAGCAACATAGCACACAATTTTCTAAATAGAAGTTTGATGATAAATGGCTACGATAATCGTTGTTTATACCAGAACATTGATAGCTAGATTTTCAACAGCTGAATGTTTTTGATAAAGTAATCCTAAACTTTGCTATGTCACCATAGATGTCAAAATTTACCCTTGCCTGAAATTTGCTGCCATTTCAGAAGTAGAGAGAACTGTGCTGAGAACAGTCCTTCCCATTCGCAGGTTTGCGATTTCGACGATTCATGGTAAGCAGATGGTGACTGCTGGCTAGCTTGCAAGCTTTTTTCCTACATCTGTTGTACTCTCAAAACTTTAGTGTTTCTTAAAGACTGCTTAGTGTCAGTGCTAGGATGCTAGTGGAGTGAAATGTAAAGGCAGAAGTCAGTGATGACCCTGACCAAGAAATTTTAATTATCCGCGGCTGGTTGGTTGTTTGGTATAGGTATACAGTAGCACTAAGGTAGTATAAGTTGCTATTCAACAAGGGTTTACTAGAGTGTGGAACTTGTGTTATGTCACAGGGCAAGAGACAGTAATTGCAAGTAATCCCTTGACCATAATTTATGGTCCTCACTTAACGATGCAGCACCTGTTGGCCTTGTCCTTCAGTCCTTTACTTGGATTAAATGACATGTGATCTCCAAGACCCAGGTGATCCCATGACCTCTATGTGACCCCATATTTGAGCTGCTGGTCTAAACCATCAGAAAACACATTGCTCAACTCGAGAGCCATGTTGGTTGAAATGCAAATTTACCTAAGAATTTGTCTTTGTCAATTTGTATACAGTACAATACAGTATATCTATCTATCTATCTATCTATCTATCTAACTTATCTATATCTGTCAGTATCTATTTTATATTTTCATCTCTCTCTATGTCCATCTATCACCCAGTCTATTTATATTTACCTGTCTATCTGTCTTA